TTCAATCAGCAAAAACCATGCCGTCATGAAGTTGATCACTGCGCATGCGCGGCATGCTCTTGGTTTATATTGCAACTTACGCGACGTCAATTCGTAACCACTACAACTTCTACACATCCTCTGAGTCTCTTTCAGAGTCTTTTTTGGTCTCTTTCTCTCATCATCAAACCCTGTCTATCATCGGCCTGTACTCTAATCAAGACAAGCCTTCTATTCTCCGTGATGTGTTTCACCCTGTCACCAAAACATGATCATGGTGATTCTGGAGATCAGACTGGCTTTGCGGACAGCTAATACTAGACCGCATCCCGGGATTCACCGCTGCGAGGAACTAAAATATCACATTCTAGAACCCGAGCACATGACCTGTAAACCTTTGAGTTCACCATAAACAATGATTCAGTGTAGATGTCTCAGAATTTGGTCTGGGCATTGTCTCGTGACCTGGCAGAACTTAACATTCGAAGACAAGATGGCTAAAAACCTGCAAGGGAGTTAATTCGGGCAAATCATATACATATACAGCTGCAACATTGGTATCAGGACTTGTTTTGTTCGAATGCAGTGGGAATAAGTTGCAAAAATGCTGATCTTAAATATGGTTGCTGGTAGAATAAGTGGTATCAGGTCTCGGACGTCTTACGATCAGTCTCAATAGGTACGTATGAAACATGATATACCCTTTCACGGTTAAACCCCCATGGAAAACTATCCCGATAAATACATAAACAGATGTGGGTGGGCATATGCTCATGTCAAAGTTTATTGCTGCATGAAGGAACTTTTGTTTGCGCTGTCAGAAACGGACCCGGTTAGAAGGTTTTCTGGTCGTGCAGATCTCGAGTGATTCTCCATGAATCAATGACGAGAGCGGAAATCGCCTTGGAAACCAGTCGGCTCGTTTCTTTCGATTCCCAGACCCCTGGGTGCGTGGTACAGAAATAAAAGTACATATGAATAAATAAATATAAGATCACGAATCTGAACACATGCCCGACCATCAATTTACCCAGGAGCTGGTGTAAGATCTCCCACATCCCTCATCGTAACTAAATATTCCCCTGATCAAGAAATTTATTAACTGCCGTAGCTAACCCACAAATAGATAGAGATATGTGGTACATATATGTACAAAGTCTTTCATATCTTACCCAAGATCGCCATTGCCGCTTCAATTAGGTATCTACGGCACACGATAACACGCCACGCCGCACCACACCGCCCGCAAAACTATGAACCGGTAAATGCCTTCCGAGAAGTCAACTCATCCCTTTGATCCCCCGCCTGAAACGCCGTGGGGTACCTTATTCACATCCCGACATTGACAGGACCGGACACGACCCCGAGCACTGCCCTGTAAAGAGAGCGTGACATACAACGTTAATTCGCCGATCAAATTAGTTACCGGCGTTGTCTTACATTCTGAGACTAGCCTTTCAACTGTTTCTACAAACATGTGTATACCTGGCAAGCGGAAAATTAAGGCAGAAAAACTACCTTTATAACCCGGGTGGTGGACCCGTTTAAGTAGACAGAGAAAAAAGAACGGTGGTGGAGGTTGTGTGGAAAAAGTGGCGGTTTTGAGTGTTTCGGGACGGGTGTTTAATTGCGATTTTACGCAATTTGTGTGGTCAGTTGCGTTCGTCAAACAAAACGGGTTTTATGGAGAATAAGTGAGTAAGATCGAAGGAGAGATCTGGAGAGGAAACATCGTAATGAGAAGTACCTGTTATGTCACTTGGAAGAGGAGAAGGGAGATGTCACAAATAAGGATGAGGGGGAAACGATCATCCAATATCGCATCCGCGCTCCCTAGCGTACCAATGTTGGATCCTCATGCACCCTTAAGCCACCAGCTGTAGGTTCCTGCGAGAAGAGGAGTATGTACATACTGAGAAGCATGTGGATTACTTTACTTTAGCCATGAATCGTACATACGGCATCACGCCCATCCACGATACGCGGAAGATTGTTACACTACTGCCACCGACATCGCCACTCTTCTGCGTAGTTACATCTAACTAATTGCCCAATCATTGAGCTGGATGGTTGTGAATTGATGGATTACTTATCAATTCCTGGCCTGGTGGGTACTAATTGCGCAAGCTACTCTCTACCAAAACCACCAAACCCTAGGTTCATTCCAAAGTCTGTAGGTACACTACTCTCCTCTGAAGTACCACAGTCCCTACTGCAGGTACGCAATCGCAAATACTGCGGTACCTACATGCAAAAAAGCAAAAAGGTCCAACATGTCTAACTACGCCGCACCCAACTCTTCTCACCGAAATTGAAATTGAGAGCCTGTATGGAGGGCGCACAGGTTCCCGCACGGACGGTTCTTGGCTTGGCACGTGCGAATGTCCTAATTGAGATCAGGGCAGCCGAAGAAGTGTGCGAAGTGCTGAAGCGAAGGAAGGTGGCTTTTCTTTTCTCGTCTCTGCTTCTAAAGACCCCATGCCACTGGGAGAAGTCGTGGGTCTGATGTAGGTACAAATGTAGAACTCTAGGCATGTATGTAGGGAGGTAGATCGTACCTACTCGTAATTTTTTGGCGTTTCCGGACTGGACTGGGTCTGCATGCCACCAAAATATGATTCTTATGCACGATTTTCGCCCATATGCAGACCCAGTTCAGTCCGGAAACGTCAAAAAATTACGAGTACATATGCAGAAGACGGGAGTTTGCCTCAGGTGCACAAAGAAGCTCATCGTGCATCGACCGCGAGCGTGATGAGGTAGAAGTACATACTAGATGGGTAGAGCTCCGGTACCTGGATCACACCCCAGCATATGGAGCACAAGAAAAAGGGGATGGGGGGAAGGTGATGGATGGATGGATGGGTGGCACCGCATTGCTCGGTATCCCTTTCGCCCTGTTCCCTGGAGCGTTGGAGCGCTGGAGCGGACCCTGACTGGCAGCCCGCACAACCGAGGCGGCGCTAGCAGCGGAAGGGGAATAGCTGGCTGGGGTGTGGTTGGATTTGTTGACCCGCGTGAAGGGGTAAGCTGCCCAAAGAGGGTGGGGGAAGAGCGAAATGGTCAAGACTGAAGAAATCGATATAAATTTATAATTGCTTTTGGGGGGGCTCGTCGAATGAACTTCTCACGAGAAAGGGGGGGGGGCGGTGTGCATGGGATGGGGGAAGATGATGAGGTCGCTATCGCCATTGGATAGGACAGGATTGGATTGGATTGGAGGAGAGATGTTTTGGTTGGTGAGGAACATTGCGAATTGCGCTGCAGCTGCTGGAGGGGGGCAAAAAAAAAAAAAAAAAAACAGGAAACAGCATGAGGGTAAATAGATAGACGATGAATGATAGGTAAACAAAAACAGGAGGACACATCAGTATCAATGTCATGATCAGCACTCGCCTTTATCTTTTTATCTTCATCGTGCGCTCTTCGTCTAGATCACGAACGAGCGAGTGCTGTGTTTTTTTATCTTCTTGATCTGATCTTGATAGGCCCTTCATCTCGTCTCGTCTCCACTTACCTTCTAGACCTTTGTTTCTCCACCGTGCCCGCTCATCACCGTTTCCCGTTTCCAGTGGTAGCGAGTGAGTGAGAAGGGTCCAAGGAGAGAGACTCGCTGTGTGGTCAAAGCCCTCCCACCCCCCATCTGAAAGTCTCCAAGCTTGATTGATTTGCTTGCTCGGAGTCTACTACATACCTACATTTCGCTCCACACACCTACCTCCACCTCTCCACCCTTCCACATCCCTTCCCCGCTGTCTTTTCAGTATTCGCCTGTGCGGAACAATCAGCAGCGTCTATCACCACTGCAATCATCATCACCACCATCATCATCATCGTCTTCCCCTCACTCTGATCACTCGCAGGCCGTTATCCAAGCTACACACTCGGCAGTTCCCCCATACTCTATCTTGCCGTCGGTGGTAGATCACAAACACCCACTTGCTTCCCGTACGTTCCACGATTGGTGTAAATTTGTTTGATACCCTGCCGCTCTGCCCGCTCGACATTTCTCGTGCACTACATACTGCTTTTGTCTGTACGATATCTACTTTAGATAGAAACAGAACCAACATCAAGTCCAAATCTCTAAATTGGTCCACCCCCCCTACCTAGTACTCAAGAGCAAGGTATATCCCCGTCTTCCAGTTATATTGACCGAAGGTCGGGTCGATACCAAATTTTAAAAAATTCATTGCTCTGCCATAGCACCCCAAAGCTGGACGGTTGAGCTTCAAGCGATACATAGTTGCATACATGTGCATTTACAGTGCTGACTGACTTGTCTCTTGCAGTTGTTGTCTAGGTGACCCTTACTTGCCTTGCAGAACCGTTGACTTTCGATCTCCCCGTCTGTCTGTCGTCCGTCCCATCCATCCCTCGCATCTCAACCTACCTGCATCATCCTCGACTCCTCCTGCAAAAAGAATTATCGCCCGATAGTTCTCCCTTTCTCTTAGCAACGTCACTCACTACTGGCACATCCCTACTCACCACCACTCACCCACCTATCCTCCGCGGCGACCACTGGTGGCTCCACTTTTTCTTTTTATTCCCTTCTTTTTTCTTTTAGAGACCCCTTCTTTTTGACGGTGGTGATACTATTACTTTCTGGAAGCCGTTCACTCGTTTTGCGGCCCCATTTTTACTTGCCTACGACGCCTCAGTCATTCTTGAACGAAAGGAACCAAAAAGCAAAAACGAAAACGTTTAAACGAACGAAAGAAATAAGAATAAGAAGGATCTGATCTTATGCCCGGAAAAAGTGCACAAGAGTGTTAGATTTCTTTTCTACCGGTTGTTGTTTGTTTATTGCTACTGCATTCAATAGGTACCTACTACCCACCCTGGAGAGCTTTGCAAGAAAGAAGTTTCTACCGCCCTGCCCTGCCCTGCCAGTCTGCATCCCCACCCACGACGACGTGTTTACCCACTCGCTCCTTCCCAAACCCGGTGTCGTTTACTGACTCACGCTTTTTCTTTCTTTGCGAAACGATAGATAGATAGATTTTCCCTTTCACACCATGACCATGACAACCACAACATTACCACGGCCCCCACGGGCCTCCTACGGCGGACCAACACCAGCGTCCGGTCTCCCAGCCCTCTCACAAACACTTAACCCGCGAGCCTCAGTCACCTCCCTCCGAAAAGTATCGCTCCTCCCACAAACACCACGAAAACCAAGCGGCCTCTCGATCGTCCCCAACGGTGGCCGACCGACAACACCGTCATTACCGATCCCAAGCACGCCCCAGGGCCCCCGAAGAGTAGTCAGTATTGCGTCGTTTCCACAGCCCCCGAAAAGTGCAGGGAGATCGAGCTTTCCAAATTCGGGATCAGGGTTCTCGGAATCACTATTAACGCCGACAAGTCCCTTGAGTAAGGGCCTCGAGAGGTCGCCGAGTAATAGGAAGAGTATCGCGGGTAATCCGGGTGCGGGGTTCGGAGGTGCGGGGACGACTATAACAGGTGGGGGTAACGGCGGGTATTTAAGTCCCCCGCACTCTCGGAGTAGTAGCGCCCAAGGGAGCTACTCTACAAGTGCGACAACAATAGAGGCCTCACCGAGCTCTGGCGACGAGCTGCGGGGGTCGTCAGGCGATCCTAGCGAGAAGGAGCAGAAGGGGAATGTTATCGTCTCTGTGAGGATAAGACCCGACGCACCCGACTCTGGAGGAGGAGGGCCCAATCCGGAATGGATTGTAGATGGGCGTTCGGGGAAGGTTGGGTACGGGGGGAAGGACGGTGGGATATACGAGTTTGACAACGTGTTTGGGCCGGAGCAGAACAATACCCGGGTATATGAACATTCTGCGAAACGACTGGTACGCAGGGTGATGGAGGGATATCATGGAACAGTGTTTGCGTACGGAATGACGGGAACGGGGAAAACATTCAGTATGCAGGGAATAACGAGCAGCCCTGGTGTCATCCCGCTAGCCATCACAGATATCTTTGCTTTCATTCGAGAAACACCCGCGAGGGAGTTCTTGCTGAGGGTAAGTTATCTGGAAATTTACAACGAGCGCATTCATGACTTGCTGGCCTCGCAACCGGGAGGTGCCGGGTTCGTGCCCTTGGATCAGCAGATTAAGGGCGAGGAGATCAAATTGCGAGAAGACGCAAAACGCGGGGTATACGCAACCCCGCTTAAGGAGGAGATCGTCCAGAGTCCGACACAGCTACTGCGTGTCATCGCACGGGGAGACTTGGCACGGCGAACAGGCAGCACGCAGTTCAATGCGCGAAGTTCACGGTCCCACGCGGTTGTGCAGATCGTTGTTGAGTCAAGAGACCGCATCCCCGGCACTACAGCTGGCGGTGGAACAATGGTGGATAATCGACGGGCAGGAATCACCGGAGGGGTGAGAGTATCAACGCTAAGTTTGATCGATTTGGCTGGGTCCGAAAGAGCTGCGGAGAATAAGGAGCGAAGACAAGAGGGTTCACATATCAACAGGTCTCTCCTTACGCTCGGAACAGTCATCGCAAGACTGTCTAGTGTCGACAAGGAGGGAAATGGAAAGGACAAAGATGGGAACCATCTTCCGTATCGTGACTCTAAACTGACTCGTCTGCTGCAACCTGCATTGTCTGGTAACTCGCTCGTATCCATCTTATGTACTATCGCGATACCACCGGCCAACATGTCGGCTCTTAACGCCACGCATACTGGTGAAACGATGAATACGCTGAAATTTGCAGCGAGAGCACGGAACAACATCGTTTCGCATGCGAAAAAGGGCGATGAGAGTATCCTGGGCGGTGTAGGGGATGCCGGTAGTAGAGTACTGCTGGAGAGGTATCGGATGGAAATTCTGGAGCTGAGGCAGCAGCTAGACGACCAAAAGAAAAAGGAGGGGACGGATCAGAAGGACTTGGTCGAGAGAGAGGAGAAGGAGATCGAGAGGGTGAGTTATATTTTGTTTCTGTTGTGTTGTGCCTCTTTGCTTCATTTGCAAGCCCCCCTTGCATGTTGGAATGTAGCGCTGATGCGAACGGTACCTGCAGCACTCTGAGCAGCTACTCGAGATCCAACTCGCCCGGACGGCGCTAAAAGAGCGCATCGAGCACCTGAACCGCCTCATTCTCTCCTCAAAATCATCGGGCGTCAACTCGGCTCGTAATTCGTTGCTCCCCAACCCAGGCCATATGTCCGCCTTGTCTTTCCGCTCCTCAATGTCCAACTTGCACCCGCCCGGTGGCCGACCCTTCTCAACAGGTTCAACAATCTCGATATCGACAGCGATCAACGGATGCCCCACTTCAGATACGGCGACCGATGACTCAACAGGCGAATATGGTGACGGTAACGCATCGCTTGGCGCACAGGTTCGTGCTCTGCAGTCAGATGTTGCAGACAAGAATCGTTATATCGCGACCCTGGAAAAACGTCTCCTCCAAGCGCGCCGTAGCTCAAATAGTCGGGCAAGCATGATTTTTGGCCCGCCGCAGAAGCCACCGAGTCTTTTCGGCTCGTGCGAGCTTGTACCGGAGGGTCGATGGGATATTCTACTGAGGGAGAAGGACGAAGAGATCGCAGAGCTGAGGGCCCGATTGGATGATAAAGAAAAGATGGTCACGGCGCTGAGAAACGCTGCGCTGAAGCGAGACTTTGCGGAAACGGGCATAAGGCCCAATAATAGAAGTATCAAGAGCGCGAGCGTTGATGGTGCTGGGGCGGGCATGAGGACTATCAGTGCGGGCGGAAGAGGGCCAGGGGTTGGCGTGAGGATGAGAGGAGCGTCTGACTCGGTCGCGCCGTTAAAAACAAGAGGAAGCACGGATAGTATCACAAGTGTACCGGAGTGTACGGAACATGAGGAAGATGGAACGTTTTAGAAATAATACAAGCGAAACGTCGTGTGGATAGTTTAACGCAACTGGGAGTATATAGGATGGGTGCTGCGGGTGCATATGGATTTTTATTCCTTTTTGTTCTTTCTATCTTTGTCTTTTTTCTTTCTTGCCTTCTTTTCTCCCTATAGTTGCTTCTTCTTTCGGATCTTTATTTTCTTTTGTGCTTTTTTTTTTTTGCAGGTTGACAAAAATTCGGGTTGCGGGGGGTTATTTTCTTGGGTTTTTATTTATTTATTTCTCTTCTCGGTATTTGAAATATTGTTGGCTTATCTTTTTTGTTGCTTTTTGCCCCAGTCTTCGTTTTTTATATTTTGATCTTTTGATTTGATACCATGGTAGTGGGTTGGGGGTGGTGCTGGGCTGGGCTGGGCTGGGAATTAAAAGCGGCGGGGCGCTGTTCTTTTCTTATTTTATCTTCTATTGTAAAACTTAATTATTTCGTCTAAACTCCTTTTTGCTTTTCTTTTCTTGTGTTTTGTATTTTTGGGAGGGGAGTTTTTTTTATATCTTCGCTTTGCGTTGTTCCTGGTTTTTGTTTGCTTGATTTATATCCGGGGCCTTCTTTTTTATTTTTGCTATGCTTATTCTGTGTTCCGCTCCGTTTTTGTGCTGTTCTTGTGATACCTTTTTTATATCTTGATCTTGCCTACTTCTATATTCAGGTCTCGACGTACGGTTGTATCTAAAATCGATATCGATATCTCTGAGTTACGTACTTGGATGTACTGTGATCGTGGTGACGAAATTACTCTTTTTTATTGTGCTCTTATATTTAGTACTAATGCTTGATGTTGCTCGTCGTGTGATATATCTCCTATAAAACGCTTTCTTTCTCTCTCTCTTTCTGTGATGTGCGGTATTTATGAGCGGCTGCACTAGGGTGGATGGTACGGAAAATGAACTTGCATGTACGTATAGAGAATTAAAGTAATATGATAAAACGTATCCCCCTCGGAGTTTGCGAAGCTGCGAGGTGCCGTGAGTGTTTTCGCACACTTGTAGCTGGGTCGGCCAAGGTTCGCCGCTTTGGGGTAGGGGGTCGGTACAACACTTTGTATCTACAAGTGGCCGAAAACGGAACCAGCTGATTAGTACGATTCGGAGGAAAGCATAGGATGTCACTCGGTTACGCTGTTTCGGCGTGTTACTCGGTTTTCAGTTGTGGTTCAAGTAATGTATGGTTCGACGCGATGGCATGGTTCTGTAGTGTAATGGTTAGCACCCAGGATTCTGATTCCTGTAATCCCGGTTCGACTCCGGGCAGGACCTCTTATGTTTTTCATGGGTCAAAGATGAGTTCAAAAGATTCGTTACTGATCTAGATCAATTTTTGGTGCGCTTTTAGTTGTTGTCTGTCTGTGTGGCGTTGTTGTGGTTGGGGTGGCCGGTAGAACTTTATTCTACGCAGGAAGCTTTTTTTTTCGAGAATACTCTCACTCTTCCTAAGCATATATTTTAAATTCAACATTAAAGCCGAATTTTGCATCGCGAACAATCCGTTGTGGTGTAATGGTTAGCATCAGTCGCTCTCACCGACTAGATCGGGGTTCAATTCCCCGCAACGGAATCGAGAGAACAGATAATTGTTTGACAATTGTCTACAGCTTCTGAACTTTTTTTTGTATTTTAATTTGATGCGATAATTCTGTTAGATTCTGAATTCTAGTAATAGATGTTCTCGTGTGATGGTTTTTCGCAGTAACTAGATATCTGCTGGAGGAGGAGCTGGTGATAGTAGTTTTTTTTTTTTTTTTTTTTTTTTTGGGGGGGGGGGGGGGGGGGTTATTGGGGTTTTTTTCGCGGGACGCTGGCGCTGCTGAAACTTCACTTTCCACAAGTATTTCCACCAATGTGTCTCTGGTAGTACTAAGTTAACGTATTGCGAACCAGGCCTCTGGGTGGAGTTCCGACTTCGAGCTCAAGCTTCGCTGAAATATTATCCGCATATTGGCATTTCGTTAAAACCATTTATGAAGTTCGATGGGTTGGCGCGTATTGCAAGTTAGTATCGTTTCGAGTATCGCATGGAATTAATTGTAACTGATGCGCCTCGAAATGACGGGGCGGCCAGACCTGTGTGTGTATTGGGCTGGTCGGAAGTGGAATTGCTTCCTGGACTTGGATTTATTGAACATATTTCGGTGGCCTGTTCACTTTACGGCAAGCTGTGTGGCTCGGTGTAAGCCCATACCGGCTATGAAAAACGAAGGGATATGCTACGGCACAGGGAGTTCGTTCATGAGCGGAACTGCATAGTAGGTAGAATCAACTTGGCTTTGATTACGAACATAGTATATCACTCGGGATAACTTGATTAGAGGAGGGGATTAATTTCTTCAACAAGCTACTTGGGGTCATCCTATAGCTTTGACTGCTAGAATATCGTAGCATAGACTGTTTAATTAAGGCTGACTTTCGGGCCTATGAGAAATATCATCGGAACCTTTAAACTTGAGAGTTTAACCGTAAAATGCTTAACGATGTGGAGTTACTAGGGGCCGGACGAGAACACGTAATATCATGGAAAACAGACGTGTAAACTAACAAAGCCGGACCTCGACCTTCTAATCACTCATATCCTTCTTCTATCCTCCACTCTCTTACCTTGAAGACTGACGGGTTATATTTGAAGAACCGGTGTTTCCAAATGAACCTTTCTCTTCGTTCACACTCAGCGGCCTATCTTCTACCGACTCAAAACGTTTCGGGAAATTGATCATTCGAAAAACATCCAGGGTGGTGACCAAGTAAAGATCATCTCAAATATGTTCGTATGGAAGCTATGTGTATAAAGAATGTCATTTGATCCACTCAAAATAATTCGCGATGTCAATTGCAAGTGTACTTCCTTTCCACGCCAAGCTCCCACCACACAACCCACCACTAAACAGCTACCAAGGACCCGGATATCTTAAAATCGACGTAAAATTCACTTTTAATTTTCAACCACGACTCTTCCAATGCTAATGATTCCAATAAGGGTACAGATAGTTAACACAGCACTCCAACCAGGAACGAGATCTGGCTGCTCCGAGTTCATATCCGTTGACCCACACTGCATTTTGCTCAGTCACGTTTCGGAAACTGTTCGAGAAATCGAAGCTTACTCTCTTCTTGCAATTTCTTCAGTCGCGCTTCTTCCCCTTTGCTCAACCCGTCCTCAGGATTGTGCTTCGAAGACACTAGAGGCGCCAGCAATAAGCTCCCGAAACGCGATGTAGCAGCCGAAAGAGAGCTAGAACTACCACCAGAGCTTGAATCGCGGGTGAGCTTCGGGGTGGCGGACTTCGGGGTAAGGGGGGTGCCGGATCCACGAGCTGGGGATTTGCAACTGGAACTGGAAATGTATCCAGCTTTAGAGTCACCGCCGGAGATTGAACCAGAGGTAGTCTTTGAACTCAAGGAAGTCCCGGATCCACGAGCAGACGACTCCGAGTCATTGCCAGAACCAAAAATCCCAGAGCTAGCTTTCCTCCCTTGCGGAGACAACAATGGGGATGGTGGGGCAGGAGAAATCGGCCTGGTTGCCCTCTCCCTCTTCAGTCCGATGTCGTATTTATTCATGATTTCGATCCTCCAGTTGCCGTTGGCCTCGCGGGGAACGTATCCTACCTCCGAGTCAGTACTAACGGATGCTTGGTCGCTATCACGGTGCTCGGAGTGTCCAATGTCTTTGGGGGTGTAGTCGTCGGTGTCGAAGGCGAGGAAAGCGGCGGCGCGGATGGCGGAGATGCAATTAGGACAACGGGGGGAGTAGTTTGTGTAGATGATTTCTTTGTGGGTGTTGATGAGGGGAGGGGCCTTTTCGGAGGATGTGTTCGATGGCATTGTTGGAGATTTGTTAGTTGTTCGAGGTGGTTAGATGGGTTAGTAGACGTAGAATTGGTCGATACTATAGAAGAATATGACTTGGGTAACTGCAGAGAGATGATGATGGTGATGGTGGGGAGAAGAGATCGTAGAAGCGTGATTATTGTGCTTATGTAGGGGATCTCTTTTCATGTCGACATAGTTGACGATGTTGATGTTGGCATTGCGTTGAAGAATCAAGTGGGGAGTTTTGTGATTCAAGACGTGCTCTTGAGATTCAAGAGCCCACCTGGTTGCCAAGACTCGGGATAAATCTGACTGTTGATAAGAGATAAGAGAATTAGTGGTTTAGATATCGGAGGAGGGGTGTTCTGGAGAGGGGGAGTTACATAGTGTGTCGGGGTGGGGGGCTGCAAAGGTCAATGACCTTTAATGCATGTTCCCACGAACCTGATACGTTTGCCAAGAATTGTAGTAGACAACCGGGAATGTAAACGGACTCGATTTGTACACTCCAAATTTTTCTGCTTTGAGGTGTTGAGGAGAGGAAGTAACTCGTCAATGCATTCTGTTAATCAACGTCAATGATTAGCATAATCAGAAGCCTTTACACAATAATCAAAACACACGCACTACTTCTCTGGATATAGAATTGTAGTATACGTATCACTGTATGAACTCTCCAGAGAGAAAGCAACCGACATATGGTTAGGTGCGATATACCTGATATGGCCAAATAGGGAAAATTCTTTATTATTATGATCCTAACTATTCGCTACATTTGAATGCTCTCCACATCCAAAAGGTCTGTAGCAATATATACATGAATTTAAAGGGACATAAAGAAATATGAAAATAAAATATGCATAGCTGCGCTAGTGGTGAACTATGGAATAGACAAGGGCCCGGAGGAGAGAGTGAGGGTCGGCAGGATATATATGTATCTATTACGTTAGAAAAGGTCATTAATAAGGAGAGTTGGGGGTTGTAAATACCGTAACTCTTGAGATTATGACATTGAAGAGGTGGAAGAGGTTAGGTGTTTATGTATTGATGACGTCGACATCAAGTCACTAGAAGAAGAAAAACGTCAACGATGTTCTTAACAAAAGGACAACTATACTGATACAAGTGTAGTGCGACCTCCGGCCGCAATATGCATGTAGTGAGTAAATAGGATTCCAGAGTTCACTATAATTCAATGTCAGTCTCAAGTTGTCCACCTAGATTTGCTAAAGCCCGAGAGAGTGAAATAATACTGTCCAATCTATCTACGAAGTCAATTGTCTATGATATATATCAGTTCTTTCTTCTCAGTAAAGGGCTTTAAATATGTATTAATATGTAGCTCAGAAGAAGATATATGTAGTTTTACTCTCCTCGAGATGGTTCAAGGTTGATATATATAAGACTACCTGCTGTTTGCCCTTTCTATATCAACTCCCCTCCCTTCCCGGGTATCGGGAGCAGTTCTTTGTGGTATATATACAGACTATTCAACCAATCATAAATGTTCCTGACCACGCTGATGAAGACTATACTGTTTAGATACAGTTCTTCAAGGCCACGAGTCCTAAGCAGCCTCCACGAAGCAGCCAGATAAAAAAAAAACCCAACATACACCCAGGAAGATCCACGATAAAAAAAGTTTAAAGGAACTTATTCCCCAACCACCACCGTCTCCGCCTTAAAGAACTCAAACGACAGCGGCTCCGCATCATCCCAATCCGCGACACGGACATGCACAGCAAAGCGTATGCCCAGCCTGTCAATCTGGCCGAACATCCCCATGTCCAGCCCCAGCAGATCCAGGGCTTCCTGCGTCAATGGGCGGATGTGCATGTAGGTGGTGGCGGGCCGGAACTGGTGGCAGTACCAGATGTTGGCGTTGTTTGGGCGGATGCGGCAGCGCATGGTTACTGGGGAAATGTGGAAATATGGGAAATATGGGAAATAGGGAAAAGGTGTGTATAAAGGTTTGGGAAAGGGTTTTGGAAGTGGTGGGTGATTGTGGGAGGGACTGAAGAGGGTGCGGTATTGTACTTTATATAGGGTGCTGACTGCTAGGTCGAGAGGGAGGTTAAGAGGTACGCACATAGTACGTAGTATTCGCAAGTGGTTAGTAGTAGCTTGATAAACTGTCATCATACGGTCAGAGCTGATGCTACCAGAACAACGTCAATTCCATGATGGTCTAGCACTGGGTGAAATGCCTCGAGGTTAAAACTAGACACAGGCATGCCCACACATCAAAAAACGCACTCTCCCACTCCAACCCCAATTGAACCAGAGGTTTCCAAACACGCAGACACACAGTATCAGAAAGCATACGACTTGACAGCTAGCGCACCAAAACAGTACCACAAAGAGATCTAATCTAATCTAATCAATAGCGCACCCCAACACCAACCATCACCCCAGCGACGGCAACCTCCGCCCCTTCCCCTTCCCCCTCACTCGGTCGAAAAAAAATTCTCTCTTCCCCGGACAGGCTTGAACTGTCAACCTCTCGATTGCATCCTAACAGTCGAACGCGCTAGCCAATTGCGCCACGGAGAACGATTCTTGTGACACCCTGATTATGCAATTAATTGTGATAGTATGTTATAGTCGATCAGAAAAGTCTTTTTTCCCCATAAGACTCCCATAAGGGCGATATAAGCGTGTTTTAAGGCTTCCGCAAGACTGTGGTAAGTGCTAAAAGAGGATGGATTCTCTGTTCTGTCTAGAGCATCTATGATCTTTAATTACGATTATATGGCCAATTCGGCTACATCATAGTTGTAGAGTGTGAAGGAGAAGCAGTTAGGAAAAATTTGTATCGGCGGGCGACTCTATCGAACGAGTCCGTGTAGGTCGAACTGAAGCGTCGATTTCATTGTGAGATACGTTCATATTCTAAATATCGCCGAGGGATTGTGAGGAAGAAAAAGGAGGAGTTTCTTATTCCGACTCACAAAACATCAGAGAGGAACAAAAGCTGAATCAGCCGGGAATCGAACCCGGGTCGGGCGCAAATCATCGAAGAGATGGCAAGCGCCCGTGATACCACTACACCACTGAATCTTGTTCCCTCACTCGGTCACGCCATCTAAGTTCCAAAACCAGAATCAGCAGTTAGAAACAGCAACGTTCTCAAACAGCGAAGCTACATGTACCCCAATTAACCAACCATTCAGCTATAACTAATCAATCCCGAAAATCCAGCATGGACTCTCCCCATCACGTCTTCGAAAACCACCCATTCTTACCCCTCTCACACAGCAACGCATTCTCATACCCGCGATAATAAAGCGTATTCTCCTATCAACTCACAAACCCCCGTTAGCCAGCTCTCTCTCCATATAAAACCCCAACTACCCACAAAACAAAACCTACATTCCCAAACCCCTCTCTAATCGCATCCGCCACCAGACTCTTCGGAAACCTCGGCCTATGACCTCTCGCCTCCATATGGAGCGAGTTCGTCGCGGGGTCCGCAAACTGGCCGCACTTGTAGCCCGTGACGAGGCCGCGCTTGTCCATGGCGGTGAAGAGGCGCCTGCACCCCGTGTCATCCTTCCAGGCGGGGCCCCAGGTGATCTTGAAGTCGTCCCAGAGGAGGCGGGTGCGCACGACGCAGCTGACCTCGAGGATGGGTTTGTTGGCCCAGATGGTTTTGGGAGGGAGGGGGATGGGGGTCTCTTTGGGTTTCAATATTAGCTAGAACGCTGGTACATGGTATGAGTGAAGAGAAGCAGTCAATTGGAGGTTTATACCACCACCATCACCATCATGATCATCACCATCACCATCATTATCACTATAATAACCCTCATCATGTTCATCGTCTCCATACGGCTCGTCCTCCCCCATTATAAATCTCTTAAAACCCCCATGAGACAGCATATCATCCCCATGCCCATTGATATCCTCAATCACCAACTCCGGAAGCCTCTCAAACTCCACTGCAGGCCTCGCCGTAGCACTAGCCTGGGCAGCAAAATCACCCATGAATTCACGAAACACCGCTACTGGTGCCTTCGTCGTGAAATCGAACCTGGAGGTGAAGGTTTCGGCTGCACGTGGCAGTAACGGCTCGTCGGCGTCGAGATGAGGCTTTGTGGATTCTGTGTCTATTGCTCTTTTTGATTTATTTCCTACACAGAAAGTATAAGTTAGTTAGATAGCTGGAGAACAAAACAAACTCCCTGCTCGTATCACGGAGACCTACGTGACGCATCCCCAGCAATCTTCATCGGGCTCCCATGACCATGCCCATCCATATCAATATCATACCCCCAATACCCCTCCTGCGTCTCCACCGCACCATCATACGGCATCGTAACCATCACTGTCTATATCAGCACCCAACCCCAAAGTTTTAAAATGACACATATTTACCAGTCTCCACAATAGTCTCCGTCACATCCACAATCTCACCGGACCTCTCGCAGCGCATGCCGAGGGGCATGTAGCATGCTCTTTCGCCGCCATCTGTAGCTCCTTCGTCAGTGTATTCGTTCTGTTCCTGTGATAAGAGAGAGAAAGAGAGGGGGGGGGGGAGGTGGTACCGTCATGCGTGGTGCAGAACTCTTCTGGGATCTTGCACCATTTCTTTCCTGTGTGTTTTGGGCGGGCTGGAATGGGGGTGGCGGGGGTGACGATGAAGAGGAGCAGGAAAAGCAGGAAGAAGGGGTGGGGGGTGGGAGTGGGGGTTGGCATTGTGGTTGGCTTGGAGAGCTGTGGTGAGAAGGTTGTCTGTTTTGGTGGTTGGGGGGATGTTTGTGGATGGGAAGATTATTGGACGAATTGTAGGCTCGTTGGTCTGTACGACGTCGAGCTCCCGGTCCGTGACCTCTGGTGGGAGAAGGTCAATGACTGGGATGTAGGATAGTGGGAAAAGCCACGTCGGTGATTTGGTATGGACAACAGCGTTATTCTATCTTGAAAGGAATACGTGGGTAGCCTCGTAAGATATAGATATCCGAGATTGAGATGGTATCTGTGAGGTGGTGTGGAATTACAGAGAGCTAGAGAGAACAACATGATATATCACTCGGATTCAAAGCTGGATGTTTTTAATCATATCACGAAAGAGCAAGTATTGAAGAGAAGAAAACTACTGTTAATTAATTAATATACACACACACATATAGCAATAGTGCTGTGAATTGGAGTGTGGGAGAATAGACGACTTGAGGAGGGTTTGAACACGTGACCTTTGTGAGGAATATGTTTATAGTGCAAAGAAGATACTATTGCGCCGCTGAGTTCCAGCGACAACTATGGGAGTTTGTTGCTCCTTATATACAGATAGTTCTTAGTACCACGTGATCCCCTGATTACATAATCCTAGCACTAAGCCTCCTTGTTCCAACTATGAGTCATCCCTTATACATGAGTAATTACCATACATAACCGATGTCGCAATGCCATATTTTTACACTTCCCCTCACTTGCCACATCGTATCAATTCTGACAATTTTTGGTGAGCTGGTTTTGGTAGTCCTTTGGTCATTATGTCTGCGACATTGTCTTCGGTAGGGACGTAGAGGATTTCGAAAGTTCCGGCCTCGAGTTGTTCACGTGTGTAGTGGTAGTGAACGTCGATATGCTTGGACCGGTCGTGGATACGTGGGTTCCGACAGAGTTCAATAGAACCTGTGTTGTCGGCGTGTATGAAGTACTGGTATTGTTGTTGGAGTTCGTGCAAGGCATTACGAATCCATACCAGTTGTCGAGCTGCGAGGGACAGGGCCATGTATTCGGCTTCTGTTGTTGAGACTGCGACTGATTTCTGCTTCCGGCTTCTCCAGCTGATGGCTGACTTCCCTAGTCTGAACACGTATCCTGAGAACGATTTTCTGTCATCTAGGTCTGAAGCATAGGAACTGTCTGAGAATCCGTCGAGTGTTCTAGTATTCCCCTTCGGGTAGAACAGGTTCCAGTCTTTGGTTCCGTTGAGGTATCGGAGAGTTCGCTTGGCTGCTCGTAGGTGGTCCTCGGTTGGACATGAGGAGTACTGGGAGAGAGCGGTAACGGCATGGGTGATATCAGGTCTGGTAGCTATACTTGCGTACATCAGTGATCCTATTATGGATTGGTACTCAGTTGGTTTCTCGATTTGGTCTTCCGGTTCGCCTTTGTGAAGGTTAAGGTTCGGTTCGAGTGGTGTACCAACTGGTTTGCAGTTACTCATTCCAAATTTATCCAGGATCTTATTGATGTATGCGCGTTGTGATAGTGTGATACCGTTGTTGGTTACCGTTATTTCTATTCCCAATATGAACTTCGAGTTACCGAGATCCGTACATTCGAAATCTGCCTTGAGTAGTTGTCTGATTTCTTTTCTGAATGGGGAGTCGGGTCCGAATATCATGATGTCATCTACATACACCGATATGTATAGATGGTGGTTCTTATGTATGAAGACACATGGGTCGAATTTGGCTGGGACGAATCCTTTCCGTTGAAGGGAGTCTGCTAGGCAAGCATACCATTCACGGGGTGATTGCTTTAGTCCGTATATGCATTTTCGAAGTTTACAAACCTTGTTGTCCTGCCTGTAGCCTTCAGGCAGTTCCATGTAGATTTCCTCCTTGAGTACACCATACAGGAAGGCTGACTTGACGTCCATTTGTTGTGGTATCCAACCGTTGTGTGCAGCTAGTGCCAGTAGGAGCCGTAGAGAATCATATCGTGCAACGGGGGCGAAGGTCTCATCGTAGTCTTGGTACTGTACTTGGGTGAAGCCTTTAGCAACGTACCTTGCTTTGTACCGCTCGATTGTTCCGTCCGCGTTGTGTTTCACTTTGAATACCCATTTTCCTTTGACTACTGCTCGGTTGGATGGTCTGTTGACAATATCCCAGGTATGGGCTTTGTCAAGGGCGTCTTTCTCAGTTTGTATCGCCTTTTTCCATAGGTGTTGATCGTCGCTCTGCATAGCTTGATTGAAGGTAGAAGGTTCTGTTACGAGGTGTATATGGTAGTTCGGGGGGAGTTTGGATACGTCTTGATATTCCGTGTCTAACTCAGCCCTATAACGTCTGAAGTCTTCTTTGTATTGATCGATTAATTCTTGTTCAGTGGCTTTGTTTCCTGGGCCATTTTCTTTCACATCTTCGATATAACTTGTAAGTAACTTCTGTTGTTCTACTACCTTTTCGTCATACTCCTTCCTTCGTACTTCTATTTCAATTTCTCTATTTTTTCGCTGGCGTATTCGATCTGATCGTTTTGGAGGTTGTGGTGGTGTACCTTTGGGTGTCGTTGACACAAGTGGTTTTCCTTTGAAGCCTTTGAATGGTACGACTGGTGCTGGAATTTTCTCCCAGTTGTCTCTTGGGTCTCGCGGTTGTCCCATAGGTACGGCAGGTTGTTTTCCCTTGTCTGGTGTAGCCGGTGGTGGTTTTCTAACCAGTTCCGGTGATTCCGGGAACAATCCTGGCATTTCTGTACGGTCCTCTTCGATTGCATTTGACTCGGGTTCTGGATCAGACCTGTCTTCTGATTCGTATCCGTCGTCTGATGGTGCATTTGCCGTTTCTGGTTTCAGGCTGGGGATGAAGTCGAGTTCCACTGAGACTTCCCCTGATTCAGGAGGGGGGAATGTGACGTCCCGACTTTCAATTACCCTATGTTGTGTTCCTATCCAGATACGGTATATTTTATCACTGTCTGAGTATCCAACTATGATTCCTTCATACGCTCGGGGTGCTAGTTTGCTTCCTGCTGTCCTAGAGTTTTCTGGGATGTGGACGTAGCATTTTTTGCCGAATGGTTGAAGGTGTTGTATACTTGGCTTGGTTCCTTTCAGGGCTTCAAAGGGGGTCTTTCCCTTAAGCGTACTGTGAGGTAGCCTGTTTTTGAGGTAGACAGCTGTTGCGTATGCTTCTCCCCATAACGACTTAGGATGGTCCATGATCATGCACCTGACCATTGTGGTTACCGTCCTGTTGAATCGTTCTGCAACTCCATTAGATTCAGGAGTGTATGGGGGAGTCTGTTCATGAACTATTCCTTGTGAATCGAAGTAGTTCGTTATGTCCTTGTTGATGTATTCACCACCACCATCCGTTCTGAATCTCAGTATTGTTGTGCTATACTGTTTTTCGATCCTTGTAACGTAGTCCTTGATGGCCTTCTTTGCGTCTTCTTTCTGTTTCAGGAGATATATCCATGCGAAGCGGGTGTAATCATCGATGAAGGACATATAGTACTGAGCTTTCCCTTGTGACTGTATACTGAACTTTCCAGATAGATCTGAGTGGATTAGTTCGAATGGTCGTTTGGATCTAGTACTAATTGGTGCAGGTTTCTTATGTACGCTTTTTGATAGTGCACATTGACTGCAGTGGAAACTTTCTGGTTTAGGAGGCAGCCTTTGAATGTCGTGATACAAGTTTTCTAGTGTCGCAGGGTGGCCTAACGCTTGATGCCATTCATCGTAAGAGGTCAAACGAACTGTATTGCAAACTACTTGTACATTCCAAAGTCCCTTTTCCAATTTTGCCCAAATTATTCCTTTCTTTTCTTTTGTAACCAACTTGCTTCCTCCTCCTGACTCCGTTCTAAATCCCTTTTTGTCGAGCACGGTTTCGGAGACCAATCCCACATTTCCCAAGGTTGGGACCAACAGCACATCGGTGAGGAGTATGGAAGATCTACTTCCATCGGGAAGGTGGCAGCTGAAACTAGCGCTTCCCATTCCGGTGACAGCGTGGTTGGTTCCATCAGCTGTTCGGACGTTGCCGGTGTGAGGTCGGATGTCGATGAGTTGGTCTTGGAAGGGTGTGACGTGAGAGGTCGCTCCAGAATCAAGGATCCAAGTAAGGGGTTGGGAGTTGTTGTGGCGTACCATACAGATAGTGGTTGTAGAGTCATTTACTACAACCGATGCCGAGTTGTCCTTTCTCCTTCCCTTTCTGTTCTTGTTCTGTTCTTTGAGCTTTCTGCATTCCGTGTACTCGTGGCCTTTGTAAGGCTGTCCCCTTTTCTTGCACCAGGTGCATTCCTTGTCGCTTGTGGTACTCCTGGTATGGAGTACCTTGTTCCCTGTTTGAGGGGCTACCTCATCCAGGTTCTGTAGTCGTTGGCGTACGTCTTCGTAGGTAACATCCTGTTTGGTTTGGATGTTGTCGACGACGTTGCTCATCGATTTGGGTAGCGAACTTAGGAGGAATGCCGCCATGGCTTCGTTGGATTTGGTGAGGGGTAGGAGAGCCTGAGCGAGTTTGTGGTCTGCGCTTTGGCATCTGGACTTGAGAGTATTCCAGTTCGCATCGAAGGTCGCGAGATGCTCGGTCAGTGATCCGCCTTCTTGCATCTTCGTGTCTAGGACGCGGCTGAGGAGGGTGATCGTGGTGTTGGGTGAGACACGATCGTAGAGGTCTTTGAGCGCCTTCCATGCGTAGAATGCATTTTCGGCGGAGACGACTGTTGGTTGTATTTCTTCGCATACAGCAGAGATGAGAAGGCTGTGCATTTGTTTACGAGCCTTCTTTATCTCGGTTTTGCTGAGTTCGGTGTCATTCTCGTCAGGGTTCTCGATGCTCAACGCTTCCCACCAGTCTACAGCGTCGAACGTTATCCTCCAGGCACTCGCCCAAGTTTGGTAGTTGGATTGCCCTTGTAGTTTAGGGAGTCCATCAAACTTGAGACGAATGTTACTGGTAGCTGTTGTCTCTGAGGGTTTAATCTCAGCAGCCTTGGATGACGATTCTCCTTCTGAAGGCATGATGTTGTTGGAAGTGTTGTTGAGTTAAGCGAGGTGGCGATGGTGTAGTGCGGATTCTATTTGGCAGAACCCGGGCTCATAACCTGTGAATTGGAGTGTGGGAGAATAGACGACTTGAGGAGGGTTTGAACACGTGACCTTTGTGAGGAATATGTTTATAGTGCAAAGAAGATACTATTGCGCCGCTGAGTTCCAGCGACAACTATGGGAGTTTGTTGCTCCTTATATACAGATAGTTCTTAGTACCACGTGATCCCCTGATTACATAATCCTAGCACTAAGCCTCCTTGTTCCAACTATGAGTCATCCCTTATACATGAGTAATTACCATACATAACCGATGTCGCAATGCCATATTTTTACAAGTGCAAATCATCAAAGAGCTCGGTGCTCCCATAAGAAAAAGAAAGAAATCATCAGTGAGCTCAGTTGCTCTTCTGATATCAGAAAGGAAAGCAGACCCTTCTATGGTCTCCACCTCTTTCCCAGCTGCTTTCTTTTCTTCGGCGTTCCATCTTGTTCCTCCTCATCATGAGCCGCATGATGTTTCTGCAGGAAATATTTGGTTTTCAAATATTCGCCGCAGGTTTGGCATTTGAACCGTGATAGTGCGGTCTGAGGGGCCCTGTCTTTCGGGCCAACAATTGTCACAGCGATTGGTCCCTCTGGAGAGAAGAGCCAAACACCGAGGATGATTGAATAACTCTCAGGGTAAGTCCCTTCATAGAGTTTTTCTGATTTTCCTCGCAAAGAGGGACCTAGCAGAATGTTTTGCTGACTAGGATCTCTGGTGCGTGCTGGACCGGCGTCTGGAAAGGCCTTGAGTGTTCCTTCTCCTTGATGTGCTGGATCGAGAGGGAGCAGATAATGGACAAGATCTACAAACCAAGGATATCAGTAAGAGAATCTTCAAGTAAGGCCGGTCAGTTGAGTGTGACTTACCGATAGCCGTGTTCCTTGTCCAGCGTTATTGATCTGGGTAGGGGGAGGGCATGACGAGTTTCGAGAGCCGTTGGTAAAAGAACTTTCCGGTCGGATCCATTAGGGGTACCGGTGTTGCATGGAGTTCGCGGTCGTCTTATTTGACTCGATTGGGGGTATTTGTTGACCTGAACGACTCTATTAGGCCTGAAAGGCCTGAAGGCATATTACGCCTCATTACATTGACAAGCAATGTACCAATCGTATCGCTCGATTGGTTTCCAGGGGTTGCCCGCAACCCCGACCCCCACTCACGAGAATCATCTGGGTTATTGGATTTTGGAAAATGCAGCCTTCTTTTCATTCTGGCTTTGAGACGACTTTATCTGCAAAGCAATTAGTTGGTTTTTTTGATTAAGAAGATAAAGTCTAAATAAGAATTCATACCGATATTCCCTCCGGAGGGCCCAAATCTGGGGCGAGTGTTGCAGGTGCAGGGGGAACAGCCCACTGATGGCTGGATAGCCGGGATCTCTCTTGGTATGAACCCGAATCGTCCTTCAGATGAGTGGTTGTCGGGAACAACCATTAGCACCGATCTGCGTACTAATTAGTAATTTGGATGGAAGTTAAATTGTGGAAGTGAATGAGGAGTTCTTACACGGTGCTTTCCTCGAGGAAAGAATATCCGTGGATACCAATGGAAGTGTGAACCCCGAACTCTGTAGATAATGTGGTTAGCTTTTAGTTAATGAGGTCTTAAATGTCACTGAAAATAGTTGAGATCCCATACCTTGATGTAATCTGTATATGAACTCGAACCGCCCTTCAAAATCGAGAGGCCGGAAGGGGACCGGACCGACACTCACTGGATAGTGAGTGAAGGCACCCCGCTCTCAATGCATACCAGCATTTAAACGCTGGCAGCAGGAGGATGCGTACCAGCATTTAAACGCTGGTAGCAGAAGTCCCTCCTCCTAAAGCATACCAGCATTTAAACACTAGCAGCAAGAGGAACCCCAATGCATACCAGCAATTCAACACCCAATGAAGGGTGTTGGATTGGCAGAGGGGCCGGACAACACCCATCAAGGGCGAGGTCCGAAGAGATTTCATGCCCTATATAAATTAGCTTGTGAAAAAAAACTAGAACTGGAAAACAAACCAGATTGATTTAACGCAACCCCCCCCCCCCCCCCAAATCTACCAGCATTTAAACGCCTTATTAAGGGTGTTCAATTGGCAGAGGGGCCGACACCCACCATCTAGCGTGAGGTCCGAAGAGATTTCGTGCCCTATATATAGAAATTAGCTTATGAAAAAGAACTAGATTTGGAGAGTGTATTTTGTACCAGTATGGGTTCCACCAAAAACCACCACGACGGGGGGACTGATGAATGAGCTCTATAATAGATAGTATATTAGCTCCAGAATTCAAGTACTAAGTTTTGCAAGATAGGGATATGTACAGAAGAATAACGTAGAGCAGGAGAATTGAGGAAAAAGAACAATGTGATGAAAACATTAGAGAAAGAAAGGCTTTACATACCAGCCAGCGAGACAATGGCGGAGTTCTGCTCCTTTCCTCCCCCAAACCACCTGTGGCCTCTCGATAGGCACTACAGGGCACCGAAACAATCTAGATATTTCAAATTAAATCAAAACTCGACAGACTAAGATGAAAAAGAAATGGAGAGGATAAAACTTACACCCCACTTTCCCGGTAGTGCGACCAAAAGAACCAGCTCTTGGTATAGGATGACACTTGGGGGGGGGGGGGGAGGGAGGGAAGCCCCAATCCGGCCACAGCCTTGCTCACACTGGTGCTCACACTGGAGAGGCTTCAAGCAGTGCTGCTTACAAGACAAAGAGAGATGCCGATATTGAAAAAAAGGAGGTTAACTTGGATGAAATCTAGAGCTTGGGCAGCTGCGATGATAAAGATGTAAAGGAAAGAAGGAGTTTGGGCGGAAGATCCTGGGCTTTATATACTCGGGGGAGGGGATAAAGACAGGTGGTTTAATTACGAGAGGGTAGAGACGGACGAGGGGGGATCTGCTTCCGAGATGGCTTGGGCTTCGATATTTCGCCGCCTGGTAGTGCTGGTTTTGCTGGGCATTGGTATGTAAGAGGAGGGGTTTTCGCCGCCGGGTAGTAGATTTTTGCTGGGCATCGATATGCAAGAGCGGGGGGTTTTCGCTGCCGGATAGTGCTAGTTGTGCTGGGCATCGATGCAAGAGCGGGGGATATGCATCTGCAAAATTGCATAGAAGATACGAAGCACATGCAAGAGGCTTGGGCACTAATTACATGTAATTCCATCCCCAAAGCCACACAGCCCCCCTCCCGCCCTCATTCACAAGCCACGAGTAATAGTATTCATGTAGCCCTCGGGTTGTTTGTTGATGCTGCCATAAGCTCGTTCGTCATGAACACTCGCAGTCACCGTGCCCATCTTTTATCTGGTTGGCACTCGTAGTTACCACTGTTGCCTACATGCATTCATAATAACAAACCCACGAACTGTCAAGAAATTCGACCCACCTACCACGTAGAATCACCCCCAAGCGACAGTGCCAGCTGACTACCACCTGTGATTGTGTTTGCGATCACGGCTCTCCCATGGTGTGATCACCTCAAACATTCTACGTGGTGCAGCAAGGACAAGATATTTTGCTGTGTGTGTTATCATTGATCCCGCACTTCTGGTGTGAGCCATCATTGATCCCGCGTTTCCGGTGCTGGCTATCATTGATCCTATATATTTGCTTAGTCGGCTGATTTCGGTGCAAATAGTAGATGCCAAGGCCCGCCTCTTATGAGAACGGTTAGCGCAACGGGAGCTTGGGCCACCTTCTGCCGAGCGGCGACGTCACCCGGATCTGGCCTCATCGTGGAGTCTGCCACGGGCTTTTCTCTTCGACGACTGCTCGTCTTCTGCCCATCGCCACATTCAACTGGAGCAGCTTCTGCCTCATCTCAATCTGTTTCTGCACTGGGGAGAGGAGAGCGCTTTGAAGTTTGGGATAGCTCTGCATGTCATGAACTCTCGTCACAGATTTCTCTGGCATACCGAATACTCCACTCTTTAGTAACTAGGGATTGCAAACCAAACAGGTCAGATACCTCCAACTCTCACAGACCCCGGATTCTACTGAGAAGCCTATCCAGTCATCAATTCCTATTTACATCTCTCTCTAGCTCCTCCCCCCAGCCCGCAACAATGCCGCCCACCTCGGCCTCGTCCTCCCTCACAATCACCAACCCCCTCCACCTCTACCGCGCCCACCTCGCCACCTCCCGCCTCCTCCCCGACCCGCACCAGCACCGCGCCGCCCTCATCCTCCAATCCGTCTACGAGCGCCTCCTCGACTACACGCCCCCCGCACACCTCAACACGCGCCTACACTCCCTGGCCCGCGCACTCGACCCCACGCCCACCCCCCCACCACGCCGCCTCTTCCCCAAACTCCTCAGCCAAAACCGCGACTCCAAAAACCTCATCCGCGTCCTCACCACCGCCGACCACGCCCTCGAGCTCGACACGCCCCAGGGCCTCCTCCTCAGCGGCGAGGTCGGCACCGGCAAAAGCATGCTCCTGGACCTCCTCTACCACTCCCTCCCCACGGCCTCAAAGAAGCGATGGCACTTCCACGCCTTCATGCTGCACATCATCTCCTCTCTCGAGGCCATGCGGCGCACCCGCGCCCTCCCCGGCGAGGAGAACGAGTACTCCCTCCTGCGCCTTGCGCGCGCAACGGTGATCGAGAGCCCCGTGCTGTTCCTCGACGAGTTCCAGATGCCGGATAGGGCGGCCGCGAAGCTTGTTAGTGGCTTGCTGGTCGGCTTCTGGGGTATGGGCGGCGTGCTGGTGGGGAGCTCGAATTGCCGCGCGGAGGATCTGGTCCAGGGGGCGGGAGCGGGGAGAGAACGTGAGTTTGATGGCTTTCTGAAGGCGCTGGGCAGGCGGTGTCAGTTCTGGGATATGGGCGGGAGCAAAGACTGGCGGAGGGAAGCTAGAGGACGAAACTGGTGGCGCGTCGGCTTCGCCGGCGAGGGTGCGAACGCAGCTGGAGAAACCACTGCGGAGCCCGAGCCAGAGCCAGAGACCCCCGGGAAGCAGCCCGCATACTACTTCACCACCACCTCCCCGGCCGCCTCCTGGGACGCCGCCATCAGATCCGCTCTCAAAGCCACCTCCCCCACCTCCCCCACACCACCCACCTTCACGCCCTCATCCCTCACAATCTACACGCGCACGCTCCCCATCCCCCACTCCCACGCCGGCATCGCCCTCTTCACCTTCTCCGAGCTGTGTGCGGCCCCGCTGGGGCCCGCAGACTACATCACCCTCACGTCCCACTACCACACCCTCTTCATCACCGACATCCCGCCGCTCACACACGCAACCCTCAAGAACGAGGCGCGCCGCTTCATCACCCTCCTCGACGCGGTCTACGAGTCGGGCGTGCGGCTCGCGATCCGCACGTCCGCGGAAAGCATCGACGATCTCTTCTTCCCCGACACTGTCCCGGCCCATGCTGCTGCCACCGCGGAGTGGGATATGTCCGGCGACTCAGACCCGCTCAGTGCCGAGGTGTATGCAGAGGCGCACCAAGACCTCACGGCGCCGTTTAGGCCGAATATTGTTGCGTATGATGATACTGGAAGGTCGGAAGCTGCTGCTGCAGCGGCGCCGGATTTTGCGGATGTGGCGGCGTGGACGGGCGAGGATGAGAGGTTTGCGTGGAGGAGGGCTGTGAGTCGGTTGTGGGAGGTGACGGGGGAGGGGTGGTGGGGTGGGGTGGAGTGGCGGCCGCCGGCGCTGAGGAGGGGGTGGGAGGGGGGTGCTGAGCAGGTGGTGGTGGATGGTGGGGGGGAGAAGGGGGAGGTGGAGAAGGGGGAGATGGTGGGGACGCATGAGAGGGAGGGGGTGATATTTAGTCCGTTTCGGAAGCACCCGCAGGAGCCGCCGAGGTTTGGGGGGGAGCATTTTTGGAGTGTTGTGAGGTGGGGGAGGAGGGCGGGGAATTGGGGGAAGGGGGTGGAGGGGGTGAAGGAGCGGAAGGAGGGCGGTGGGGAGGGTAGATAGTGTAGATAGTGTAAATAGTTAGTGTAGTTAGAGTGTAGTGTAGATAGTAGATAGTAGATGGTGGGACGGGTCTGTCTCGTTCCTGGATTGCTTTTATTGCTCCTTTGCTGGGCATAGAGGTCTAGGGACGGGGCTTGTGAATAGAATCGGGGAGAGTTTGAGGGGTCGATGGTTGATATCCCTCATAATGAGGTTGATCATTGGCTCGTGTATTATTGTAATGATTGGCCACAGGATGGAACTGCTTGTAGGGGCAGTGAGAGCGCATGGTCGTCAAGTCCCCGTTGATTCTGGAATTCTTGATAACTATCGGTTTCTTTTGAGATACAAGGCCCAGTCGACGTAATGCCCACAGACACTCCCTACTGCTAAAAACCCATGCCACATACCCCCACTTCCGTCCCCTTATTATCAAAAAGCCTCCTATAACAGAGACCAGTACAGTGCCTGCGCAGCCCCTACCAACAAAGCACCATGAGTAATTATAATTGACGATGAATATTAGTAGCCATTTGTTAAGTAGCCAAGACTAACCGGCGCCTCAGGATCTGGCGGTAGCCAGGCTTGGCATCTATTATTTGCGGATGGCCCTAGATGTTGTGTTTGGCTAATGTTCTTGGTTGTGGAGGGATTGTGTTTGGAAGCTGGGGGTGTGATAGAAGGTGGTATTGGGGGTGGTGTTGTGGTGGTGGCCGAGGGTGTTGGATGGGAGGGCGTACTTGTAGAGGGACTTGTCTGTGTTTGTATTCCCGGGAGGAGTGGTAATGACTCCCCTTCTGTTCCTCATGTTCGAATGCTCCTGTATACCGCTGTTCAGTTTATCAATATTGTAATTGGGATATCGTAAGTTCGACAATGATTCATAAATCTTGTTGGAAACCGTTGAAGCTGCTCATGCATACCTGATCCGCGCTCATATGACTCCCGCTGCTAACCTACCTCTCTAATTTCAGTGTCTCGATGTACCCTCTGATTGAATAGTTCTTCGGCGTGTGTGGATGGAGCTATACTCTGCTCATTAGCCATGCCCTCTACATAGACAGTAGTGGGTAACGAATGATGCGGCTTATATCCGGGGGAGTGACACCGTGTAAGCAGTCAGTGGGGATTCATGTAGACTTGAGGCTGGACAGTCTGCGGGTGAATGGTGTAACTGCTGGTGATGGGAAAGGAAGTACCGGAGGTGTTGTTGATTGTAGAGTGGGATGTTTTGGGGCGGTGACTGTCGGGTTCTCGTTGGATGCGATGGCGATGTGGTGGAGGGCCCAGAGTCAATACTCAGCTGTATGGATTCGGGGACGTGGGTGAGAGCGTTGATGTTACTGTTGCGGTATCTGAGGAAGGGTAGGACCATCTTTTCGTCAGTGGATATCTCTCGTAAATTGGGGGATATATATCCGTACTCGAGAATGGAAAGGTATTTTGAGCAAGAGATGAGGCTCTACTCGGTTGAGTGACTACATGTACGTAGAGTGCGGGATCGTTCTTATGGGAACCTACAGAGGTGGTGAGTGATTTTTCATGATTTACCATTTGCGGGAATCGGGTACTGGCATAGAAACACTTTTAAGATGGGTTTAGGGGGTATTCGGAGCGGGGGGTGGTGCTCGTCCTGCTTTGGGCCTTGTGGGGTGGATAATAGCGGAGTTACAATGTCCGAGTGATATTATGTGATTTATGTTAACTGATTTCTTTGTTGGGTAGCCGAGTGATTCATCATCACTCACTCGAACCCTTGTCACTTGATCCCTGATTTCTGTTACAACGAATATTAGATACCCTTTTTATGGGTACACTCCATCATAGCATCATCCCGTACTGAAGTGGCCAGATATTCACATCTGTTAGATCACATACGAATGTAATGAATACACAGCCCTCAAAATATAAGTAAATGATAGATAAAGGAGCTTAATTGCTTCAATAGAGTTATTACAGGTCGTTATAAGCATTTTCTGGTTTACTGTTACTCGTAGCACTCCCGTCGGACTCTGCTCCCGACCGAAGCTTAAGTAAATCAAACAAGAGCGAATATCAACGCCAACATCGGGTATATATGATACCTAATACCGGCTTCGTGACTGTTTAACTTTGCTTACTGAGCATTCTTCACTCGGATATCGATAACCCTAATTCAAAAGTGAGCCCTAATACTAGCTCCCACACTCGGGATATTCCAGTGCCATTGTACTCCTTAACTTGTCTACACCATCTTCCCTCCTCTTCTTCTCTCCATCACTCCATCTCGTACCCAAACATCTCTTGTAGGGCGAATGTACTGCAGACAACCTCCTGTAGGGCATCTGTACTGCAGCAGACCAGCAAACGCATCTGAGCGCACCGCTCTGTGCAATACACAATGTAGCAGAAGGTAAGTTGTCTTTTTTTGCTCCTTCTCCGTCATTAATCAATCTTTGTTGCTGCAAATACTGACAGTTATCGTAGATATGGTTCGGTGCGGGCCTTCCGCACCGACTCCGGATAAACATAATGTAGCAGAAGGTAAGTTACCGTTATTATTCCTTCTCATTCAGTAATTTATCTGTGTTGCTGTAAGTACTGACTGTTGTTATTGTAGATATTATCCGGTGCGGGCGTGGTGTGCCGAACCAGCAGCATACAAAATGTAGCGGAAGGTTAGTTGTCCTTTTTGTTCATTCACGGTCATGAATCTATCAGTGCCGATGCTGACAATCGTTGTTGTAGATATTGTATGCTGCGGGCGTGGTGTGCCTAAACAGCAGCATACAAAATGTAGCAGAAGGTTGGTTTCCATTTTTGTTCTTTCTACATCCTTAATATATATCTCTGTGTTGCTGCTAATACTGAACGTCGTTGTCGTAGATATTGATCGGTGCAGGCCTGGTGCACCGACTCTGCGTTATACATAACGTAGCAGAAGGTAAGTTGTTATTTTTTTTTCTATCAATCCATCAGTGTTGCAGCAGATACTGACGGCCGTTATCGTAGATATTGTACGGTGCGGGCGTGGTGGGCCGACCCTGGGATATACATAACGTAGCAGAAGGTAAGTTATCATTTTGTTCCTTTCCCATCATTAATCAATCTGTGTTTCTGCGCCTGATGCTGACGGTTGTTGCCGTAGATATTATTCTCTGCGGCCGTGGCCCTGCGGAATACACAAAATGTAGCAGAAGGTAAGTTGCCGTTTTTGCTCCTTCTCCATCATTAATCTATCTGGCTTTTTGTCGATACTAACGATCGTTATCGTAGATATATTCGGTGCGACGGTGGCCCTCTGATACATAATGTAGTAGAAGGTAAGTTGCTATTTCTATTCCTTTTCCGCTATTAATCGATCTGGGTCGCTGTCAATACTAACGGTCATTGTCGTAGATATATTCGGTGCGGGCCTGGCCCTCCGGAATATACATTATGTAGCAGAAGGTAAGTTACCATTTTTGCTCCTTTTCCACAATTAATCAATCTGCAAGTTTAAATACTGACGGAGATCGTCAGATATTGACCGGTGTGGGCTTGGTGGTGGGCGGACACCAAGTTGACACCGTCCTCTTCTTCCTTGGGGAGTATTTCTCTTGGTTCGAGGCTTGTTTGATTGAGAGGTTGTATACGATTCCTTATTTCCTAATTGATAAATTGTTAAAACATATACTGACTTCTCTTCTGGGGGATAGGGAAGCCTCCCCTCAATCATACAGGTCTCGACCTTTTCTGCACCATCCGCGGTGCCGGAAAGGTGCACGGAAATATTATCTCTGCGCAAAGTCGCCGCGGAAGGCATCGTTGGGGGGCTACCACCGTGCCAGATCATCTGGGCCCGGGAGGGCTGGATGGTCAGCAGTTGACCGGGGTCCTGGTCCCCTGCCCAGATCATCAAAGCCTTCTACAATGATGGGGACCAGGACCTTCAGGCTGCTAAAAGTAAGAGAGACACGAGTTGTCTTCAGCCTCTTTGGCTGATACGGCCTTGCTTTCGCGGGAGTCGAAGGATACTTTGAGTCCAAACGGGGGTTTGGGGAGTTGGTGGATATGTTTGGTTATCTGGGGGTAGGAGAAAAGTGTTTTTATAAATAATAATATTAATTATAATACTTCTTTTAGTTTTTTACTCTCTTTTTGCGTGCTAGGGATTTCTTGACGAGTCTAATAGGAAACGTTAAGCGTCCAACCGCGTCAGCAATTGCAATCAATGGAACCAAGGATTCGGCTTGCGAAAGTGGACAAGTATTAACAATGGATTAGCTTGGGTCACAAGCTATACCTCGGTCAGAGATGTATTAAAGATAATACATTTTTCCATTGTGTATATATGTACTTTTGAGATAATATCATTGTTCAGCTACTCAGGGGCACTAGTGTCTAAATTGATAATAAAAGCCTCTTCCGCTTCCTCTTCTGTTCCTGATCTCCATCTTCTTCATCATATTCGAAACTTTGCAGCAGAACTCATTCAGCTGAATCTTATCCCACTATTACCAGCAACACAATATTCTCGGATTTCGAGAAGATTGACAAAGGTCTCTGGTTTGTGGCCTTGCTTTTTTCAAGGTACAGTGAAAATAACATCTCGTTCCTCGTGGCTCAAGAGCAGAGCATTTTTCATTTGCTTTATCATGATGGTCGATGTTTACAAAGATAACAGCATGGGGTCTGGCCGGCCGATAACACAGAAGCTGGACATCTGGAAGGTTAGTAGTTGAATATATTTATATATTTCTTTCGAATTAGTAAAGTTTAATTTAACTCTGAGTGTTCCTCAACAATAGGCAATTATTAAAAAGTCCCTTAAGAGAGATCTGAGTTGTCTTCTCCAAGGATCGATGGAGAAGGCACACAGATGTGGGTGGTGTGTGGCTGCCTCGGGCAATGTTTTCATGTCAGTGGCTCGTTCTCAAATCTCTCTCCTTCTACTTTTTGAATAAAATACTAATTAGAGTGACGTCAACAGCTGGGTTAGAAGACAAGATATGTCTCTCAACGGTGGCAATTGGATCAATGGCCATGGAGATTGGGGTGATCTTCTAATGGCAGTGATCATGGAGAACGAAAACACTTCCAGATGATGGTTGTGTTTGGCTGCTTGGGGAGTATTTTAATGTCAGTGGCTCATTTGTTAAATCACTCCAAGTCTACTTCATGAATAAGTACTAATTGAAGTCAGCAGGGACAAAAGATGAGATATATCTCTTACCCCCAATAAGAGAGGCCGGAGTTGTCTGTGGCCCTTGGACTGTTGTCCGCCGGGCAGATGCACCTCCACAAGATTCCTGCCTTCGGGTATTGGGTCTATAGGTGGAGGGGCAGGCTGCAACCGCAAACAAAATGAAGTCGTTGCGCGGGGATGATTGGGAGGAGAATGATGGTGGGGAGGAGGAGGAGGAGGAGCCAAATAGTGAGTAGTTGTAGCCTAATTAACGATATTGAAGTCGACGTCAGGCGTGCTAACATGGGCGATAGAGCAGCACCGACGGAAGGATCACACCCACGCTTTGGGTTTGTGTTAGACTTTATCGTCTGGTGGGTAATCTTTCTATTCTGGTACTCTTCCATTTATTCGATTAGTGAGCTGTTGTTGACTAGCTATATTAAAGAGGAAGGGGAGTTCTTTAGTCTATCTGGGGGCTGCCTCGTTGAGGAATACGATTCGAATGAATCAACATAATCGAACTAGATGTTGGCCTTTGCTGGGGAGTACATCCCACAGGAAGGGAAGGGGGCGGGGGGATGTCTTAGGGAAGCTGACACCCAACCAAATAACCATGTTGGTGTATGTAAGCTCCACCTCAGTTAATTATATATTGTGCTAACTGAAGTAGTTGGGTTGTCGTATATATATCCGAGATGAGGATGGTTTTAGTATTATCATGTTGTGGCCCCTCTTCCCTTTTAAAACGCCATTTATTCTCTTTTTGGGGGGTTGTTGTAAGCGATCCAATTTCTTTCTTCATCTTCTATAGAAATGCTTACTGATATTTGTTCAAGTTTAAGGTTACTCTCTTATTTCTAGGGCTTCTTACTCTAGAGCACCGGCGAATCAACAATTGAAATGTATAGACCTACCCCACCATTGGAGGTCTCTAGGAGCAGTTATTCTTATGGAGGGAGGGAGGAAGGGAAGAAGAGAGGTCTGGCGTGAACGTTCGGGAAAGCCGATCAGTTTGGGAACTTGGAAGCTGTAGTAAGTAATCATACCAATATCTGATCTAGTTCTACGAATCTTGAATGAGAAACTATTAAGCTAATTACACTAATAGAAGGACAATTTCCAATTTTTTGGAGTTCGGGACGTTGAACACTTCTCAAACGAATCAACATAATCGAACTGCCATCGAGGCAATGCTTTCCCCGGAGAATACATTCCGACTTTGTGGAGAGCTGGTCCGTAATTTAATGCCCTAATCTTTGAAATAATTCGTTACTGATGTCTTTGAAAAGGATATGCCCTCTCAAAATCGGCTGGGACCTCTCCTCGGACCCATTCAAAGCTGCGGGGAGGCCGAGGAAGCTTTTGGAAGGGTTTGGCTGGGATACGTACATCATCTACTGTCACGTCCAACTGCCGCGTGCGCGACGGCAACAAGTCCATCTTCGGCGCGAATCCCTTCACCCCCGAGATCGCGCACATCATCCCTCATTCTGCTAGTAATTTCAGCGGGGGGTTTGTTCTGGTCGCTTGTGGAGATGTTTTTGGGGATGAGGGGCATAGAGGAGTTGAAGATGGTATGTGACACTGATATCCCTACATCTCTTTGTTACTTGATCACCAATATTGGATATTATTTTCTTTTCTTGCTTTATGGATGCTAAATTAGTCTCTTTAATATTAGTCTATGCCTATATGGCCGTCTGTAACGTCCGGTTATACATTCCAACACTATTCGGCTGGAAGGGCTTGTCTTTCGAGGACTGGATTTATTCGACCGTCTTCATCGGCATCCCCTTATGTGGCTGTGGCTGAGGTAAGGTAAGCCTCATGACATGATTCATCTCGCAATTGTGTTTCCTCATTTTGCTGACATATATGATGCTTTTAGCTGCCTATGCACAGAGTCAAGGTATGGGGGCTTCGGTTCTTCCTTCTCGCCCACCCACTCCGCAAATACAAAAACAACCCCCCGGAAGCCCTCCATCAGTGAGGCTCATCTGGGTCCGGGTCTGGTTCTGCGGGTTTAGCGAATAAACAACTGGACAAAAAAAGTTGAGCAGCTGGAGGGAATTGACTGTCATTCCGGTGGGGCTAATGGGAATATTATAAATTATTATCTATTAAAACTAAACACCTAGATGTAGACGGCTATCGAAAGAAAGGCGATGCATTGGTGGTGTGTGTAATTGTACTGACAATATTTAAATGGTTATATATACGTTCAATAGTGCGTTGTGTTAGTAGTAAGGACCGTGCGCTGTTCATCACCAAATCTTTCTGCCTGGTTGTGAGTTGCATTGTAATAAGTTAAGCTTTCAAGACAGTGTATCTTTTGTTTGAAAGCTGCTATCATATAGGCATAGTCAGCGGAGTCTCCTAACGGGTAGTATTGATTGAAATGTTTGGCTGTATTAGGTGAGTAGTATAATTTTATTATGTGGCTATAATTTAAAAACTTTGTGCCATTACAACATCTTTGGTAGTATAGTGGTTAGTATACTCGCTTGTCATTAAACTGTCCGCGAGTGACCGGGGTTCAATTCCCCGCCAGAGAGCTCATCTTTTTTCTCCTGGTTTTTGCTTTTTCTTGTTGAGGCCTGCACTGCCCTGCCCATGAAGGGTTAGGGTTACGCAAAGCTGGTTGTTTACGATGTTGTAGTAACACCACCAGGCTCGGTGGACCACAATTATGCTATGAGTTCCTCTTATTACTCCAATGGTTAACAATGACTATCGCTACTTTAATCTGAGACTTGATTTCGAAAAATCCTGGATGTCGAGCTGGTACCATAGCGTTTGTAATTAATTGCATTTCTCATAAAACGGAAGCTCGCATAGAGAATATATACATATGCGAAGGGGCGATGTCCCAAACTCTATTCGAAAAATAAAGCTTATTTCTATTCTAGTTTATGACAAGTAGATGCTGCTTACCTGTTAGCAGCTGGCTACGGGGAGTGCGGGTAGAAACCATGCATGGGTGCCACTACGTCCAGCCAGTGCGTGCTCTCGAAAGTCTTCACTCTATTTACTCCTTATCTTTCATGTCCGTAGCCTTCTTTGAACATTGATATTTACAACCCAGAAAACATTTAATTAAAGTCTGAGAATAAAAGCAAGTTATTGTTATTACTTACTTAATTGAAGAAGAAAGAAAAGGATCAACGATCGCTAGAGGGGTATTGTTTGCTAATGAGCTAGATTATGATTTTGGTAAGAAATAACAAATTTACCACACTTCGCCGTATTGTTTTTGAAGTTTAAGAGCTAACCTCGATTCCTTACAGCTCCGAATATTTTGCTGGGAATAAATGACTCCGTCTTATTATCGGATTGATAAATTATGGTCCACAAACACCTCTGTGTTGGCACTTGGAACTTGAATCCTGCCTTCCCTCTTGCGTTCGGAATACCGGAGCTGCTGAAGCGATTGTTGTTAACCAGGTAAGATTCTTCTTTATCCTCGTTACTTCATCGAAATAGTTGCTAAAATAATTTATTAGGCCGCCGAGCCGGGGTTTTGGGGGGGGGGGGGGGGGGGGGTTGAGTCCATACGGCTTCGAGTCATGCACGAAAGACAATGCTTCATGTGTTGGTGGATGCATATTTCCATGTACTGCCTAGGACTTGTGGGAAATTAGTTTCCGTTTTCTACAGGTATGTTCATCGCCACATCATACTTAAAGATTCGCCATTAACATCTTGTAGTATTATTTAGGACCCTCATACAATGATATTACGGAACAAGGCGGGCATTACTTTGTGGTACCGGAAGAAGATTAAGCGCTCCCATTCGAGCATACGGCCTGGAGGAGTTCGAATATGTTGAGATCCCGACTATTGTAAATCATAACGCATAAGAAGGCCCTCTCTGGATCAGAATTAATGGGCTCTCGGGTTACAGGGCTGGACAATGCTGTCCATGAAATCATTGGGAGTGTTACCGAATCCGAGAATATCGGCGACATGTCCCATCGTCTTTCCGATAAACAGGTGTGCCATCACAATTTTTGGCGGAGGGAATGTCAATTTGGAGTTCCTCCAAGCAATTACATCTTAACATGAAAACCAAGAGGTACCCACACCCCCACAGATAACGACGCCGATGCCAATGTATTGAGAGACTAATATATGTGGATTTATTCCAGTTAGTGGCCCCGGAACTGAACTGAATCGCCGACATTATCGCGGACGCAAGAGATTCGGGAACAGCTCTCTATGGAACAGCGTGATCCACGCGTGAGGCACATCGAGGCAGGAAGAATGGGGAGTATCGAGTTTCCTCTGCCTCGGATCGCCTCGAATTATCTCGATCTTCGTTGGGCTTTTGGTTGTGGGTGGCGGTGTTCATGGCGAAAGAAGTTGAGTACTTCTTTACCAATTACCGGCCGGTTAAGATGAGTAATATGCCTTTATCTCTAGTGCTCCAGCCACTTGAGAAATATCGATCCAGCTCGAGCCAAGGGGCAGCATGTTGGCCTAGAAGCTTTGCAAGGTAAGTTTCACCTCCGTGCAAGTCATCAAATCAGATATTTAACTGGCAACCCTGCTGATTTAGGGACTGTGATTATGTGAAGATTCAAACTCCTCGATCATGATCCGCTTTAAACCGAGGCTGTGCTGAACAACACTTCATAAGACCGCACCCATCAATAACAGGAAGATAGCCGAAGGTCTCTGGGGCCTGAGGAGGCATTACGAATAACAAATCCCATGACAGCCACTACTATCACGTCCCATCTCCGCCTACTTAGCCGGATAAGCATCCTTCTCATAAAGTAAAGGTGAGTAAAAGAAATAAGCTTTTAGATGGGGCGCACGTACTAATGTTATAATTATAGGCAGAAAGGACCCCTTACAAGCTACCGCGATTGACTAAAATCTTCCGGCGGAGGAGTTCCTCTTCAGGGTCGGTGTGGGCAGCTTCTACGGGCTTGAGCACGAACGCGAATACTGTGATTAAATGACGTTATGTTGTATATATTTAGGTGGCAGTGGCAGTATATCACTAGAAATTACAGAGTCCGGAATACGCCTACGGGTGCGACGAGGGCCCGGGCGGCGAAGGCAAGATACGAGTATGTAGTACGTAGGGTCGTTGATAGTAGGGCCGTTGAGAGATTCATGGTGGAGAATATTAGCTGAAGGCAATCTTTTACTCGGTGTTTCTTGGCCTTTGATTTGTCATACGTATTATCAGCTCTAGTAATCAATCGTCTTGATGTGTCCGCCTAATTATTCTCTGGCTTGTGTGGCACCTTGTACGCCTTATAGCTTACCCACGAGGCCTCTCAGTTCTGCTTACTCATTTGATACTCCGCGACCCGTCGCCCTCTCGATCGAAGCCATTGCAAGGCAGGTTACTTGTCTGACCCCGCGAGCATATTACAAGTATGAGAAACTGTGCTCTTGAGATGATTGAAGCTGGGATATCTATGGCGAAGAGAGGACTTATGTGCACATATATATATGCTAGTTGATTTACATAACTTATTACTATCGTGGCTAGCACAATGACCCAATCATAAGGTGTCACTCGGCGCTTACGAAACCTCATGTCTTGACACGACTAATCTAATATCAACTTAATGCTACTTGTACGTAACCATCAACCTTTTCTACAGTCGAACTTTCACATCACAATCTACTTCCTATATATTACGGCTGCCAATGTCACTCAAGGTCTCACAAGCACATCCAAAAAGACAGCAAAGATTTTTTATATGTTTTATATTATAAACTAAGAAAATAGAAATAAAGATACAGCCAACCTCCACCACCCCCGGATAACCCACCTTAGCACCCCAGTTCACCCACCACCGCCCCCAAGGGGCCACCGAGACCGAGAGGTGTTGCAGTACAGCGGCCCTACAGGAGAATATATCCCACGGGCAGCAGCAGTTAGTCTTGCTGCATCGCCCGAACACGGGTGTCCTCTCCATTCAACGTATCGATGCGCACCGGATAAAATGCATCATCGGAGTGAGTGCACCCAGGACGCAGCGATCAGCTTTGACCATTCCTTCCTCGAGAGGATGCGCAGGTAGTGGCTTGCCCACGTACCTGGCGAAGGAAGGAAGGGAGTGAGGGAGGGATAACCCCTGGAGGCTCTCCCGATTTTTCTAGCCCGGGGCGAAACCAGAGAATCTGAGTTGCCTCACGTTTTTCTCCCGAGATAGCTGGGGATGAGATGTGGGCCTTGCAGCTTGACCGTGGAGACGGCTGCGGCCTATAGATCTTTCCGCGGAGGGAGGGAACCATGTGGCTTGTGCTCGGTTTTCCCTCTCCTTGTTGTGTAGTGATGGTGGTAGTAGTACGCACGCCCTACAGGAATCTTCTATGTTGGTGTTAGCACGTGTTTTGGTACGTAAGTTGGGAATGGATAAAGGAGGTAGCTACACACAATGGCCCAGCTCCTCTGGTATTGGTATGGGCTGGGAGAAACGTATTCTCCCAGGAGAGAGGGCACCGAGGACCGTCAGCAAAGATTGAGTCGATCGCGGCCCGATCCCCAGGAGAATCTTGAATCGAGAACCTGATACCGAGGAGAAAGAGGGGTGAGCCGATAAAATGCGGGAGGGGAAAGAGGTGCAAGAAAAAAGGAGGCAAGGCGGAGAATGCGGAGGCGAAGGAGGAGGTATTCCTATCGGCAAGAGGAGAGATACCCACCTTTCTCGGGGGAGGCAGAGGAACCAGATGTTTCCTCAGTCTCATCAGTCGACAAGGTCGACGCCTCCTGAGTCTGGTCTATATTATATTAGCAAATGATAAAACAACAAGTCTAAACAAAATATCAAAAAGAAACATAAACACACCAGACAGACCAGCGTCAGTACAATCGCCCCACAAGAATAGCGTAATGCCGTTGCTCGGACTGCAGGGGCTATGGGAAGCGTCCCATCCACTCGCTCCGCCAGAATATATCTAATTACTTATTTAGTAAACGTCAAGACAATCAATCAATCAAAAGGAAGAAAGCACTCACCGATATAAATCACGGGTCACCCCGGAATGCCCCACACAGGCGGCAATCGTGCCTACAGTGGGAATACTACTGTTAGTAAAATACAAAACAACAAAACCAAACCAAACACCAAAAGGAAACAAAATACATACACCTGGAAGCCAGTGGCAGTACAATCGCCCTACAAGAATGCATAATGGTGCCTCAGGGCACCCATTGCTCGGGGCAACGTAACCCCTCCTCCAATACAAGTGCTCCTTCATCCCCTCGAATACCTGACCTTTTTGTTAGTAAACATTAAGACAATCACTCTTTCAAAAGGAAAAGAAACTCACCGGCATAATTACCAACCCACCCCCCCAATGGAGCCCCAGCTCCGCGGCACGCATTGCAGTCAGAGCTAGTGCAATGGGAATCATATAGTAATCTATAAATCGCATTAGCAAAAGAAAATAAAAAGATAAAATAAAAAATAAAATAAAATAACAAATCCAAATAAAAACAAAGGAAACAAATACATACCCCTTTGCCAACCGGCTATGGCAGTACAGTCGCCCCACAAGAATCGCATAATGGCGTTTCAATGAGGTCCAGGGCAATGGAAAATGTCCCATTCCCTCCCCCCGCCAGAATCATGATCATGACCTAATCACTTATTTAGCAAAACGTCGAATTCAACCAACCAAATCAATCTATCAAAAGGAAGAAGAAAATTAAAACTCACTAGAACCATCCCCCAACACACCGGCCCTCTCATGCTCTGGTCCTCCAGACCACAGAGGAATAAAGATTCCGACAGTCTTTCAGCCCATGCCCACACGGCACCCCACGCAGGAAGGCAGTGCTCCCGAGTGACTGTGGGAGGTCTATAAACACATTAGCAAAAAATCAAAACCAAAAAAATCAAATCAAAAAAAATCAAAACAAGAAAAATCAAAACAAAACACCAAAGGAATTCGAACAAACCATGCTTCCTGGCACACGAGCATCAGTACAATCCCCCCCACCGCAGCCCCCAAGAATGGAGACGGTGACTGTAAGCTAGCAGCCCCACAAGAATATGCTGACAGGAGCACCGACGGGCCCTGTCGATGTCCCAAAGCATGCAGAGGCAGAGGGCGAGATGAATAAACCTCGCCATGCTCTCGGCAGGTTCGGTCATCGATGGCGGTGGTAGGGAGGGGTGCAGTACAATCACCCTACAAGAGAGGAGGGGAGTCGGTTCCTATGTAGGAAAGGTAGGCGTGATGGATGGAGATGAGGGGGAGGAGGAAGAGGAGGGCCAGATGGATTTTGGCGAAGTATGAAAGAGGTGGCCTTTGATAGAGGAGGGCTTGGAGAGAGGAGAAGAATGCAGGAGGTGGTTTGGGGATGGATGGACGATAGGAGAGAGAGAGAGAGGAGAAGGGAGAAGGGAGGAAGAAAGGAGATCCATTGCCCGAGATCTTCTCTTATCTTGCGGGGTAAATCGTAGGAGGGTTTTAAATTGGGATTGGTAGAAGGAGTCCTGGGAGGTGCAGGCCTAAAGATGGGCTCAGTGTGACTGGATGTCCTCGGTGGACATTCCTCGGGAAGGAGAAAGGAGAAGGGGTCTTTGAGTGGATAATAGAAATGGAATGGGATGAGGAGGAGTTAAGAGGGTTTGTTATGATGACGGGTGGGAGGCTAGAGGGGGAGGACGCGGTGATGCATGATGGACCCGCCATGACGCTTCCTTCTAGGGCGAGCTACGGGTAGTAGTACGGGTACTTCAGGGCAGGCAAATTACGGGGATGCAGAAGAGATCGTTCTCATCTATCGTCTTAGTACCGGAGGGGCGCTATAATAGTATCCCCATCAAGCCTACTATTAATTGATATCGATTACGAACTTGTAATCCACTGGAGATGGTATCGGCAATCAAGCAAAGCCGGCAAGTAGACGGTGTCAAAAAAAAACAAAAAACTGATAAATACATGTAGTAGAAACACCATAACCCAAAGTTCTATATACACTAGTGTCAATGATCATACTCCCCCGGATTCCCCCGCATTCCCCCTCCCCCCTCCCCCGCCCCAGCACCCACTCCCCTTACCCCCGACCCGCCGCACAAGCTCCCACCCTGGGCCCAAGCTTCATCCCCCCACCCACCCACCACACACACCCAAACCCGCGGCCTCTCGTTCCCGCTGCACATAACGGCACAACAGTCATTGACCACGCATCACAGGAAAGCACTCGGCCGAGTGAGTGTTCATGATCACAAACTATCCTTGAAGCAAGCGGTATGCCTATTGTTTGTAGGTTGCCGCTTTCGGATAGTAGTGGATGCGGGTAGTAGTACTGCATGGGACGGGACGGGACAGGGTGGAGGGTGGGGGAGGGGAAGGGATGGCGGCTGGCGGGGTGGGCGCTGGGGGTACGTGATACATGTAGTTCTTGTGTTACGGTTTTGGTGCGTGCGGGTGGTTGGTGGGCGGGTCATGGCGTGTCACTCTGTGTGTTCACTCGTGGTGGCTTACACTGGGGCTGTCATTGTCGTTGTTGTTGTTGTTGTTGCCGTTTGTTGTTGCTTGGTGGTGAGTGAGATCGAGATTTGATGAGCGGGTTGGTTGGGGTTGTGGCAATTGCAAGTACGAAAAGATGATGGATGAAAATGATGATTATGGTAATGAAATAAATCGCTTGTTGATTGTGCTTCTTTGTTTCTCTCTTTTTGTTGATCGTCGTGGGTACTTGTATGCCTGCTAGTGCACTTGGGACCCCGTGTTTCTTTTACATACACGGAGGTCTTTCCATTTTCATCACGAGAGCAAACGCACAAGAGAAAATATTCTGTATATTAAAATTCTCTCTAAAAGTCTATAATCCATCTATGCCTTCTAGCCATATATGTAACCACCACCAACCAACCACTACTGCACAAACTCCATCTCCCCATACCTCTCATCCGCCGCCCTCAACACCCTCCTCCCCTCCGCCGCCTGCCTCCTCCCCCCAACCATCATATCCACAAACGCACGCACATAAACCTTCTGCACCTTCAACGCCCTCAACCCATCGATGCTCCCCACCAGCCCCTCCGCCACATCCGGTTCCACCCCCCTCAGCCCCAGCAACTCCACAATCACCGCCGCATCCGTAAACGTCAGATGCCTCGCGTCCGCCAAATGCAGCTCCCTCCTCCACCCGCGCAGCTTCGCCCATAGCAAGCCCCAAGACTCGTAGGTAGACACGTAGTTCGCCGCGGCACCCAGAAACATGAACGACCCGCTGAAGCCCGTGTGCACCACGTCCCCCCAGATCTTGCCGTCCATGGCGATGCCGCCGCGCACGCGGCTGTCCACGCCCATGACGGCGGCGGCGGTCGAGCCGCCGAGGGAGTGGCCGACCATGGCGATCTTGCCGGGCGTGGTGGTGTCGTCGGTGCCTGGGATGGCGCGCAGGATGGCGCGCAGGTGGTTCAGGGTGTAGAGGGTGTCTGCGACGCGGGTGGCCTGGACCGCGAGGATGTCGGCGTCGGTGTAGTTGCTGGGGAAGTTGGAGAGGATGTAGGAGCCGTCGGGGAACTCGACGATGTCGGCTTCGTAGATGTAGTCTGTGACGAGGACGACGTGGCCGGTGGAGGCGAGGTCCTCGGCGAGGGCGGTGTGCAGGTAGCGCGAGGTTTGGTGGCCGGGGGAGAAGAGGACGATGCCGGGTTTGCAGGGGCCCGAGTAGGAGGCGTTGGTGTGGGAGTTGGGTTGGAGGGTGTTGAGGCCGCCGCTGGGGAGGCCGTAGGCGGTTTCGTAGAAGGTGGCGGTTGCGGGGGGCATGTAGGGTGCGAGGGGGGCCGTGGTGGAGTTGTCGGTGGGGTAGAAGAGTTGCAGGACGAAGGAGCGGGGGGTGTTGGGGGTGGGGGCGAGGGGGTCGGTGCGGTTTGTGTCGGTCACCTTGATGGATGTGGTGCCGACTTTGTAGCTGCCGGAGAGGGCGGGGAAGGCGCTCTGGGCGGAGGCCGAAGTGAGGAGGAGCAGTGGGAGGAGGAGGAGACTGGACAGCATTGTGAGTGTTACTCTTGCTTGATTGCGTGTAGAAGCTGTCTGTCTGGTGGAGATGCTGCCTGGTGGTTTGTTCAGGTCCTTGAAGTACTAGTCGTGGGCTGTGAGGTCTTATATAGAGATATATCAACTCCATGGCCATCCATGTCTGACATCAATTGGAGGACTGCATATATATAGCCAGCCAATGCCCAAAACTTAATACCGCCATTCTGCATTCTGCATTCTGCCTTGCCAGGGTTATGGTGCGCACACTCTTAAAGGCGACACGGCAGGGTCTGGAAGGGAAGTGGCTGCAAGGTGAGTTTTAGGCCAATCAGAAGGCCTGTTTCTAGCATTCCGCTTTTGGGGGGTATAAATGGGTACATGTATAATACATGTACTGTTCCACTTTGCTCAGTCTTGGCGCTTTTTACATGCGAAAATGCGGAATTTCAGACTCCCAAGGCTTCACAACTAGAATAGATATCAAAAATCTGGTCATGCAAGTTAAAGTTTATCACTAGTACTACAATCTATATGACCCGATTTTTTTTAACTTTTTTTGTTGAAAAGCCTTAGGCAATCGACTTTGCCTCATTTTTCGGTTACCTTTAAGAGCGGGCGCACCATACATGTAAGTACATGTAATTAGTTCACATTGCTGCCCTTCGATTCTCTCATATGCAACTTAGTTCGTGAGAGAATACGTACCCTTCTGCAAACCAGCTCCCACTGCCCAACTACAAGCAGAGCACCAAGAGCAGCACCGTCATCTCCAACTCGTATTGACACATTCCGCATCCGCACAACTCTCGCTCTCATCCGATTGGCGGTCGTGCATGGTGACACAGGTCTCGCAACGTTACACCGCTAGCACTGCGTATATACGTAACCCCCGTCCCTGCAGGCACAAGGGGACGACGAAGGGCTCATGGATGTTGATGTAGGTATGTAATCCAGGTACGAGCAATTAGACTACATACTCTGGAACCCCTTCCGGAAGCTTCTGTTCCCGCCTGGATCGATCCGAATAGGGCTATCATTTCCCGAGACATGCATGCCCTTGAGGAAGGAAGACTTCTTACCCGTACCCCGTCGCAGTGAGGCAGAATTCAATTCACAAAGGGCATTGAAATTGTACCTCTTGGTGCGAGTTGAAAAGACGAGGATAACCGTGATCTGATCTGATGACTGCGCCTACAGCTGTCTGTGCTCTGTGGAGGTTTGTAAGCCTTCTCATGGACGCGCGTCAGCAAGTCACGATGTACTCTGTTGTTTGGAAAAGATCTGGTGGATGCCTTTCGGAGGTGCATACATGTATTCTGTGGCTGATTCTAGTAACGCCTCGACTGGAGAGCCACTGTGTGGCGCTCTGTTCTCTTCGGTCACAATCAAGAACCAAGACTGAAGAGTTGAATACAAGCGAGGATGATTGACTAGAAGTCTGGGGGGCTATCTTGTCAAATAGGTCTACTGATGATGTGAAACTGTGGCCTCGTTTCAACATATCGCGATAGACAGAGTTCGCATTATAAATAGCCCTAACCCAGAAAACAGGGTCAATGATTGAGAACATCGTCTACCTATTGAGCGCAGCCAAGGTGCTTACAAGTGATAATCTATGTTATCTAAACTTACTCGCTTCTCGGCGTTATAAAGAAAGAATAGAAACGGGATTGTGCTTATTGTCTCCCACGGTATTGTCCAGGACTCGGAGAATAGGCCCGGGGAACATCAGCAACGCTGCGCTAAACAAAGTTAATGCGAAAAAAGACATGTGAACACCTCGAGAGGATCTGTGCCTTTAGCTTTCGTAGGTTCTATCTGGCTTTTCCTTCTGGATTCTGTCCTTGAACCAGCCATGCACTCTCGCTAATACATCGTGCCCACCATGCACTCCACCTCCACCATGAAAATCCACGCTTCCCTCCCCGAAAAACCAAACATCAATCCCTGCGATACCGCCTTCTCGCCTCCGCCAAACGACCCCCACAAAGCCCCACCACCGACCGCTTACTACCTCCTCCGCACCTTCCCAGCACGCCGTTCAACTCCACCTCCAATCGTAGAGACTCAACTAAGTCGCTTCTGGCTCACCACGCTGGTGATGTGGACGAGCTTTGCGGACATCCTCCCGCCGAGCTGGTTCTGCCCCTCACATAAGGTGCATGTGAAGCTCATCGAGGAGTTTGGGTTCCTGAGGAGGTACTTCTTTGCCAGTTGGGGAATCTTGCAGGTTCTGGATGACGCGGGGATGAGGGGTGAGGTTGGGTCGGTGGTGGTTGCGGCGGTGGGAAGTATTGGGCGTGCGTTAGGTTAGTTAGTTATATCATGTCGTAGTACTGCGGTGGGGGAAGAAGGTAGGAAGTGTGCTAATGGTGGTTGGAAACATAGTGAAGTTCCAGGAGGAGTGCGGGATTGCGGACGAAGACCTGCCGGGCACGATGATGACAAAGAGCTTTCTGCAGAGACAGGATGTGCAGGCGGAGATTGAGCGGGTTGTTCCGGCGGAGGAGAGGGTGCAGGGTGCGGCGAATCATAATTACTTTGTGGCTGCAGTTAATCTGCTGAGGCATGTGGTGGATTGTGCGGGTTATGATAGGGCTGAAAAGATGAGAGCATTGGGTGCTTGAGCTGGGGCTTTGCGGTTGGAAGGATTGGTTAACTAGATTGATTTGACGGCGACGGCGGCGGTCACGACGGGCTCGCCATGGCTGTGCTTCGTGTTTGAGTTACATGCTTTCTGGTTGAAAATGGTTTGAGTATTCGAGAGTCCAGTTAGATGTCTCATCGAGAAGACAGGAAAAAAAACTCTCGTGATCGGTTATATACGCCGTGGTTGATTCCGAGCTGATGATATAGTGTAATGGCAGCAGAAATTGAATTCCCAACTCCAGCAAAATATTTTCCTGTGAGCAGAAAGTAATAGAGGTTTAGTATGGTGTAAGGACGGACATGGGTGGCCACCGCCGCCGCTGACCAGATCCTCCGTCTTTAACTGGCATTATACATGTTTCATATCGTCAAAAGGTTCCTGGAAGCTTGCTTGTTACGCTGAATAGACCTGGGTAAAGCTGGAAAGAATAATGTACCTAAGCTTGACTTTATCGTTAGGAGTCTGGCTTTATTTGTGATAGTGACAAACATTAGGTTTAGAAGACTAATCTTTACCTCGTTCATCCTTCTCTTAGGACGAGTAAAAGTTCGTGATGCGAAGACGCTAGGTGATCGATTGGTTGCTAGACGGGCCAAGAAGTTTATGTGTGAAATGTGTAGAATGCGTTAGTATAACGTAGCAGAAGCCTTGTATAATCGAATCAATATTGATTCTATGGACTAGAGCATGCACTGCGCAGAAGAGATCATCGGAAACAAAACTCGAACCATAAATATGTCAACAAGACATGGTATAATCTGACCAAGTATCAGTTAGCTGTATGTGAAGTTGTTCTCTAGAATTACACGTAGTACCAAGCCGTGCCCGATTTTCCAAGGTGGCATCTTTCCGGTCATTTATGATCTGGAAGGCGGGTGTACTACAAAAGGCACTAAACATTCCCCTCCACCCGCTCGATTCGCTTTACAACCACCCTACATCCATCAACCGCCCTCAACGTGAGAACCAAGGCGAGCTCTGCTTCTTGAGAAGCCCAAGTCTCTCTTGTAGGGCGAGTGTACTGTAGTGATGAAAGAACACCTCTCTTCATCACCAATCATCGTACACGTTTCTCATAGGGTGCTTGTACTGCTGGAGCTGTATCAAGCAGCCTCCGGGTCCGTTTGGCTTCTTTATCCGGTTTGATACATCTTCAATTGCTAGTTATTGATTGCTGCCTGCTAATATATATTTATTCATGATCATAGGGAAATGCAAACGACATGTTGTGGCTAGCTCTAGGAATGGGGATATCCCCTTATATTCAGTTGATTGTGGGGGTGCTTTGTCTGTTATGTTATCCGTGTTCTGCTCAAATCAGACCTCTTACTAACCCATTTACAGAGGTGATTGAAGAGAGCCCACCTCATCATGCATTCCAATATTAGTAGTCCCCTTTCGACTCGCAGCGGAAATTGGACAGGGGAGATCGAGAACACATGGGATACATATTCCTGTGGCATATCCTCCCCATTATGACCATGGTCTTATGTTTCTACCGCAACCAAATATAAACACCATATGGTTTGGAGGGCCGGGCCTCCAGAGGGGTGACTTGTGGCTTTGGCAATGCCGATTGTAACAATTTTGTAAGTTTGAGTTTTGCCTTCTATCCACAAGTTACAGTTTCTGTTTCATTAACACGGGGTATGAATTCATAGCATCGTGTCCCCTCCTTCTTTGATGTCGCCGAAGGGATTCCAAGAGGAATAACTCTGAAAACATACAATTGGTGGACATTCGAAACCTCAATGCCATAACCGGCCTGCCAGGGTCTGGGTGCAATTTCATTCTGTAAATCGCAAAGGGTGTTTGATGAATGACATTTGTCAAACCAATTGAGCAGATAAAGTCAATAGTAGGCCTATAATTGAATATAAGAGTTCTTTCTGTGCTGTTTTTAGCTTTTCTTTCTTTCTGGTTATCATGCGCCGCGTCCATCTTGTAAGCATAGTTATTCCTTAAGTAGCTCTCTGGCAACAAACAAAGCATCATCTTGCTCTTCCTCTATGTAGCTACATAGACACATGCCCGCGGATGTCAAAAACAACCAGGCACAACGAAACAAAAGAACGATGAGCTTAGCAGCAAGAGGTGAAGCAAATTGGCCTTCCAACTCTCTGTATTTTGTATTTGAGCTACGGCAAAGGTTGAGATTACAAGACACTTCTCACTTTAAGTCGCGTCGTGCTTTCAGCTCCGGTTTAGTGTAAACAACTAGGGTTAATTAATTAATCTTCATTCATTTAATCAAAATTATTTTATTATATGATTGATATATTACCCACTGATACGTAGAGTATATAACAATTGAATTTATGCCCGACCGCGTATTTTATGTACTTGAACGGAAATTTCCTAATTGTAGCCAAATTTGTTCGTCGATCCTAACTGCTAGATCAGAGCTACAAGTAGGGGAAGTCGTAGTAGACGTGTATGTATACTTAAGTACCATCATTGAGCATCCCCGAAGTATCAATCCAAGCTAACTCTGCAGCCATTGAGATCACGGCCCAAGTATATGAGCTCGGGTATCTCGATTCCGGTGACCCACTTGCGATTTTATATATACGTATAACGGCCAGTGAGTGTGGCCAGCATCTATTACGAAAACGTAGAGCGCACATAACGCTTGTATTTACGTCCCCATTCGTATCATATCAGGCAGTGTGAAGAGCTTGTGGATTTGTATTAAATGACAGTATGTAAAAGCCCTGACGCCACCAAAGAATACAAATTTTCTTCAGAAAGTGATGACAGCCGAGTAATGACGAGTGATTGATCATTAGTTCTTTTTGTGTCACGACACTCTAGCTACCAGACCCGTCTCAAAGATTGCCAGTTGTTATCGCTTCAACACAGATAGGAATTAAGGTAGCAAAGTTAGCCATAGTATTCGGAAAACTATCAACAATTATATTCTGTCCGCATGCATTCCATCGATGACCTCTGTAGTCATTCTTTTCTCATCAACGCATTCTTAACTAAACGTATTTTAGTCATGAAATTTCCCTCCTATCGACACTACCTTAGAAGCGTCTATATCATTCAAAGCAAAAGAAGAAGAAAAGAAAAAAAAGGAGAAAAGAAATAACATCAAGAGGGAAAGAAAAAAGGTCATGTGAAGCTATCTAAATTGAGATGTACTCAATTATGTCCTCCACATTTCTTGTATCATCCATTGCTCACCATTTTACTCATCTCCGGCAATATCCATGTTTTCATTCTCATCGTTGGCCGAGCTAGCATGCTCATTATCCTCGTCTTGAAGAGTGTTTGCCTCATCGGTACGCTGCTCATGTTCTCCAACTGGAGTTGCTTCCGCGAGGGGCAGAGCAGTTTCGATGGTAGAACTGTTGTCACTGTGAGTGGCTTCCAATGCGTTCTGTAAGTTCATCATATTGAACCTCCCCAACCTCTCCGCCGTTGCTTGGCGTAAAATGTTTTCATAATTTCTGGACGGGATAAGTGAGCGCTATTAATGTTTTTTATTAGAATGTTTCTTTAAAATTCTTATAGACCTGAATACATACGTTACGAGTGAACTCTTGGAAGCGATACTCCACATTCGGGTCCCTTGATCTGTCTGTCAAATGACGAATAAAGCCGTCGAGGTGTTCCACGAATGCCTCGATTCGGCGGACTTCCTGTTCCAAGATTTGCAGGGCTGCTTCATCCAGGAGAATAGGAGGACCATTAATAATGGGATCCTCCGAGCTTCCGGAAGTGGTATCACCCTGAGAGGTACCCTGAGAAGTACCGTAAGAAGTAACCTGAGAAGTAACCTCAGAAGTAGCCTGAGAAGTAACCTGAGAGGTACCCTGAGAAGTACCCTGAGAAGTACCCTGAGAATCATGCATGGGTGGAATATCATCGTCAGAGTGATGAGCGGTGCTATTTTGGCTATTCCCACTAACAGAAGGTAGGTTTTCGACACTGCCAACGGTATCATTCTCATCACGAGGGTAGAGGATACCGCCAACAAATAATTCGTCATCGAGGGCCCCACGAGGGCGATATTCCTCGGGAAATTCATCCCAGGGAGGACCGGCAATAACGGGGCCCTGCTCCTAGTTTTATTTAGTAGAGGATTAAGATGGAAGAAGGGATAACTTACCTCACGCGTTTCAAGACGGGCATGCCTGATGGGGAAGTCTGGGATAGACTCTCTGGAAGCTCTACCGGGTTGGATAGATTGATGCATTATGTTTTTGATCGAGAAAATCTTTAGATTGTAAGGAATTGGTTCGTGATGAAGAAATCAAGGAATAGCGGTGGGTTTTAGATGGAAGAGATGATGAAGATGAGAGGTAAAGGTTGATTACTGAGGGACGAGCAGTGAGGGCTGAGGAGGAAGATGATGAGGGTGATAGAGATGGAGAAGGAGACGAGAGAAGGAGAAGAAGAAGAAGAAGGGGAGAGAGGAGAGGCTATATATACTCAGAGATGACCGGGCCAAGGCGAGCTGCCAAGTAAGAGTTTCAACTGCTCCTCCTGGCCTATACGCTTAATTGAGGCCAGAAATGCAGAGTCCATTATTCACCGCCATTTAGCTGCATACATATATATGCTAGAAATTGATCAAATATTTCAAAACTCACTCACCCCATCACAATAGGACAAAAATTCAACTGTACCAGGATAGTTTTATGTATATCCTTTCTCCTCCCTCGACATGTTCAAATTTATCAACGAAAATCTATGGAGTATCGAACGCCGATAGGGCCCGAGTGATATATCATGAAGGGCTGTACTGCGCATTCGAGGTAGGTGTGCGAACGCACGGGGACTCTAGTGAATACTTGGCACGACAGATATCGGTAGGTCCGTCTAACTCACTTTGAGTAAGTTGATTACGTACGTAGGTACCCTGCTATTTACAGTATTTCTATCATTGACTGACCTTTAATTTTACTTTGTCCCGTTTGGAAAATGTCTAGGCCACGGTGTGCTGAGAAGTACTGAGTGCGTAGTCTGTATACATATGCACTCTGCACTCTCTATCAAAAATTAGAAATCCCCCTAGCCAAGTGTTCGAGAAACATTAAAGAGGCTCGCCCTCTTCGAACACCGAATTATAATTTCCACTTCGCCCGATATATCCAAAAAGAAAAAGAGAAAAGAAAGAAAGAAAACCAGCGAGTAACCGCTTATTACGAAGCAAAGCCTAGTACTCTCGCGCGAGCGCTACGCCCATTCGTAGTTTTCACCGAAAGCCACCAGGGCAACAGAACTTCATATCGCTAGGCGCGTTACCCCGAATCTTTTAGTGTCTCTCAACCTACTCCGTGAGACCACCTCTGTTCAGTATGGCCTCGCAAAAAGTATATAGCGACCTCCAGCAAAAAGAATGCGACAAACCCGGATTGAACGGGTGACCTCCAGATGGCACCCCGGATAAGAGACTTCAGTCTGGCGCTCTCCCAACTGAGCTATTATCGCGTTGCAGATGAAGGTGGTCAAGCGTTGCGCTACAGGAATCGTCTGGAGTTCTAAAGTAAGGCTTGAGTGCACGCGAGGAGGGATTAGGAAAAGCATGAAGTCCCAAGGCAGCGAAAAAAGGTTGAGCGTCCGAAGGGAACAGCATCTGGCAAATGTCAATTTTTGCTCCTCACTCGAGCCCTTATCGTATTTTACGTTTCAAGATTTCAAAACCGTGGGTTTCAACGGCAGTGAACGCGCACTCGCCAAAGTATGTTCAGTCATCATCAGAAACATTGCACCTTATGTAGGCTTTTCCATATGAAATTCAGGGCATTGGCACGCATAGCTGCCGTCACTGGTCAGAACCCCAATTCCAGAGTTGATCTCGAAAAAAAAAAATGCGTCTTGGCAGAGGTCTTGAAAATTCGGTCGTTACATTAAAAATCTTGGCACGGAACCCTCTTTCAACCCCCACACAAGTTCTTCTTCAACATCCCCGACCATCTCACCATCCTAATACGTCTATCTTTGCATTTCCATCTATGGCTATTAAACTAGTATCTAAGATTTTTTAACGCCCTTGACCTCCCCCAAAACGAAACCTCGACCAAAACACAACCCGCAGCAAGCACTCTCACCTCTTTCAAATAGGAAAAGTTTCAACACAATCCCGGTTCTCCGTGGCGCAATTGGCTAGCGCGTTCGACTGTTATATTCACATGGCATCGAGAGGTTGACAGTTCAAGCCTGTCCGGGGAAGCAAATCCTATACTTTTACCTGTTCGTCCAACAGCAGCGAAGTCTTTTGACATCACAAACGCTATTCGGGATCTTCTTTATTTATTTTTGCTTTAAGGGAAGGAAAGATCACACCTAGCTTAAATTAATCACACCAAAAACAGAGTCAGGTCTATTAATATTTCAAGCAAGAAAAGCAATTGTGCTAGAGAAATGCGTCCTCGCTGGTCCAGCGAAGTGAAAACTACGTCTTATGCACTCTTCAGGCCGATATTGCCTGGTCCCAAAAGGTGCTCCCAGTCGGTGGCATTTGTTATCAATTCCGGGGAATTGCATTTTTACATAGCAAAAGAAAGTCAAGTAAACTACCAGCAAAAAAAAGTCAAAAAAATAAGCTTACTACCGACCCCGACGGGACTCGAACCCACAATCTTTGCCAATCACAGCTGTCAAACCGGAAAGCAATGCGTTAGCCATTACGCTACGGAGCCATGAAAGAAAGTTTACCATTTGCCTTATATATTCATCTCATCATATAATTTGATAATAAACTCTTAGACTTTGTGGGGTTTGAGATTACTGGACCTTTGAACTGACAGTTCTATGAAGTATTGTGCGCGTAGTCACCCTCCGTTCAGGTGTTGACCATGAGACAACAATGCCAAGTCTACAGAAAGCGAGTGATCATCTATGATGGCAACCGGACCCTGACCCTGAGGCTGGACAAGCACATACATGTGTTTTAACGTCAAGCGTGCCTCGAACCTAAAGTCAACCCACCTTATAGTACTATCCGAAATCCCCATCATCATTATCGACCACCTTTAATTTTCAGGGTTTATCCAGCCGGTTTTCTTTGTTCACTTGAAACTCTAGGCACAATGCTCGCTCATGCAGACTACAAAATACTCTAGATCTATATACCAGGCTGATAGAACATTCAGCATAGATGGCACAGTATTGACACTCGAATCATAGGCGGATTGAGACGACTCCGATAGACCTTTGGAGTGCAGGGTGCATACAGACGTCCAGCCTTTAGTAGCACTTCATTGAATTACGATCTATGGCCACGTATATTAGCCTACGCACCTATCGCCGAGTCACCTAGCTGACCAACATAAATACGATTCTCGACGCTATCTTAAGATGTACGAAGTACTGTCAAAGCACAGGAGCATGCAAGAAGCCCAAAAGTTCTCAAAGAGAGTTTTAGGCAAAACACATTATTTCAATTCCTTCATCTCGACTGCAGTTCAACAGGTACAAGAAGAAACTAAAAAGGACTCAATGATGTAATGCACTCCGAACTCTCTTCATGCTTAAGGCTCGTATGTCAACTCCTCCAATAACCACAGAGACGGCTTGATAGCTGTGCCCCAATACTTTCGTTCCTGTACTTTCAAAGCGTTTGCTTGCTTCTCCGTATCTTGACCCTGGAGCGGTCTCTCCTTGAGATGCTTGTTAGTGCGATTATCTCCTATGATTTTTTTCTCTTTCGGGTTATTGACGTGTTCCTTGTCAGATAACAGAGTCATATTGAAATGCTCTATGCGCGTGAGTTCTTCATACCCCAGTTCTTCACGGGCAACTCGGACAGCTTTCCACAACACCAACTCTTCGACGCACCATCGAATTCTTCTTATCATACCTTCGGTCAGAAATGTGTAATCCGGATCGATTAGAGATGCTCTAATTCCGTAGTTCTGGTTCCTGAGGCGCCAGTGATGCTGGGCAAACATCCCCGGATGAAGATGAGCAATGAAGTCATCAGAAGGAGTCACTAGTGGGGTTGTAACAGGTGGATGAGAGGACACCCTACTGAGATGGGTTTTGGATAATGGAAGTCGCCCCCCTGTAAGCTCCGATATATCGTGAGGATAACTAGCAAGAACCTGTCTAGGTATTGGCGGGTGCATCGGGAGAGCAGGGATTGTGTTTAGAAGTGCCGGTAAAGTTGAAACCTTGGACGGTAGGATCAAGAGTACAATTGAATGCTTAAGTGGTGTGCTAATTACTGCCGTTGTCAAGCCAAAGTGCTTAAGCAGGTACTTTTGTGCCTATAAAGAATTAAGAGGGGAGAGAATTAATATCAGGTTCCTAAGAAAAATGAGCTCAAGACGTGGAATCACGTACCTCTCTACCGCTAACCTCAGCCATCACCTTCTCTCGACATCTCATAACATCCATTGTTTCTTCGTATCGTTCACCGCAGACACAGATACGCCTCCATCCCGGGAGACTGGAGTGGGTTTGGCGGCCCTCGGAAGACGCGCTTTGATCAATCGCGTCGACCAAAGTTCTCGGTACATCTTCTTCATGTGCACTCAATATAACCTCTGTTTCAATCAGATTTAGTATCTCCATTGGAACAGAGGAAATTCCTTTCCTGTTAGAGTCAGACTCTTTCCCAGACTTGACAGTAGGAGACACCGCCGGGGGGGCTAGATCTTCAACCACTGTCTTGGAGTCTTCCATAACAAGAGGGGTAGACCCTCCTGACACCTCATCTCGAACCACATTCTCGTTATGAGACAGGATATCACAATCAGCGGTAGCATGTGGTACCGAGCGGGTAGCGACGTCAAAAGACGATAAATGGGTAGAGGAAATGACACGAGGAGGGTTAGGAGCGAAGCAATGGCATCCACGTAATGCTCTCATGACGGGGAGGAGACGTTGATGGGTTTTGATTGCTCGCAGAAGGTGCGTTGGATGCACAGGAATTCCCCAGACCAGTGAAGTCGAAGATCTTGCGCAACGAGGCATTGTCGACGCAAGGGCTATTCAGAATCAATTCTCGTGAGATAATTTCCTGGACAAAGAGTAGCCAAAATTAGCTAAGCGTGTGATGGGATGGTTTTGGAGCCTATGGAGGAATTGTGGAAGAGAAAGGCGGATGGGGATGGGTTCGTGTATTTAAGGTGTCGCGACATAAAAGAAACACGTTGCCAATCATAAAGGATCACTCGTGTGATGTAGACATCTTCACCAGATCTTTTTTAACGACATTATGTGTCCCATTATGTAGTGGTTGCCCTAAAATGATATATTTTGAGGGATTTATCTGATAGAAATAATATAAAGAGGAAAGCATCGTTTGACTAGAAGCAAATTTTGAATGAAGAGAATTGCGACGTTCTACTCTAGCTCTACAAAATCCTCGGTAAGGGTTCATGGCTTCTTGAGGCCGAACCTTTTTAGGTTGCCGGGATGGTTGGGTAGGGGTTCTTGGCAAAGACTCGACCTCTCTAAAAGATCGGCTTGAAAGCCGCACCAATTAAAAGCTGTTTTGTCACCACATAATGGAGGAAAAAGAAGAACTCTCTGGCGGGGAATGAACCCCGGTCACTCGCGGACAGTGTTAATGACAAGCGAGTATACTAACCACTATACTACCAAAGATTGCCTCCTATTCAAATATAAAGCATCAAAACCAATATTTCTTGGCATTGACAGCTGTACTTTGCTGATCACGGAACTTCACTCGATGCATAGACTCAACGACTACATGTACTGTGAATCTTTGAGCCAAGACCGGTTCCGTCCCGAAGGGCCAACCCGACGCACGGGACGAGCCCAACCGGCCCGAGAATGAACTGGTTTTAATGCCATGACCTTAACACTGCTATTTAATTAATGATTGAATAAAGGTAAATTAAGGATTTAATAAGGATTAAACAAGGATCGAATAAAGATTACTTAATAAGAATCAAAGGAGGATTTATGTGGCAAGTAGCTCGAGGCTTGTGGTATTGTAACCCTATGGCTTTTGCTAAGGGTTAGGTGAAGCTAATCCAGTGTTCCTGCACCGACAGGCCCAACCTCCGAAGTTACTTCACGGGTACACCGTGGTCCCTCAGCTTCTATGAAACCGCCGTCCACGATGAATTACATGTATTTTAGTTGAAGGGCATATATTCATGTCCCTACTTGTTTGGGGAAATGCCAATGCTAAGCGATAATTCTGTAGCTTTTAAACTTGTAATATTGTAAACCGGATTCCGCTCGCTGAGTGACTGATGATGCCACTAAGACGAGGCAGAACCCTCCCTATTTATACATATTGGAACCTATGCCAAGGCCCGCTTTCTAATACTAATGAGATAACGATAATAGAATAAGATAATCAACCCGAAGATAACCCCAGTAGAAAAGCGCCCCCGCATAGTTCCGTTCCTCCGTTCTAATTCTGACACGTAACCATAAACCCCGCAATTGCCAGTAACCGAGCTGTATCATGCTATTGTCCTAGAGCTACTTCCCTAAGTAGAATGGCCTGCAGCCATAAGCCCCGCTTCTATTCCGTTCCGGGTGAGACACCCAATAGTAAGCGTGCCCTCACAACAGCCTAATACTAGTGTGGTTGCACCCGGTGCCCCCACACCCCTCGGTGCCTTTCTATGCTGGTTCCCTCGTTACCCGACCGTACTCGCATCACAACCCATCACTCATATTATCCTTGTTTCTTGACTTAGGAGCAATGTTCGTGTTTCCTATAACACTACTCCCCCTTCCTAGACGTCGCCCTCGACCGTTAAAACCTCTCTATGATAAAAACCCTGTGGGAAAGTCATAGAGTAGGAAAGGTATCGAGCTAGTCTTCCCTAGTCCGTTGTCGTTTCGGAGGCCGACTCGAGTCGATGACTGGCTCTTGACTCCGTGTGTGGGGCCGAGTATTCATGGTTGGTTTGAAGTTCTCATCTAAGAGCGCTTCTTGAGGATCGGGTGTTGCGAGTCGTTTCCGTGTATTCTGTTGCCTGCCAGGGTTGGGATCCTCTCGATAAGGTCGCAACAACATCTCGTGGAATACGTCATGAACCTTCCATTCTACCGGAAGATTCAACCTATAAGCCCGGTTTCCTACAGCCGCGGTGACTTCAAAAGGGCCTGTGAACTTGTCTGACCACTTATTATAACCGCCGAGGTTCCGAGTATCCAGCAAGACCTTTTGACCGATTGTGAACCGCTGAGCTGCTCGTCCTGGCCTTGATGCCATTCTGTCAAAGGTTTTCTGCAGCGTATCTCTTGCTGACTCGTGGGCTAGTAGAAGGTCTTCCAAGTAGGTACTTCCCTTGGCATCCAACTGCCCGATTTCCGCGTCTATTGGCCAATCCGTTCGTGGGTGGAAACCGTAGTTGCAATAGAACGGTGACTGTTCGGTTGACGAGTGCTTCGCATTGTTATATGCATACTCGCAGATCGGTAGTAGGTCTTTCCATTTCTTCCCTGTGCCTGCGGTGTAGGCACGGATGTAGGATTCGAGGTGCTGGTTGGTCCTTTCTGTCTGGCCATCTGTCTGCGGGTGGAACGAGGTCGAGAGTCTTCTACGAATCCCTAGTCGCTCTGTAATCGCGGCCCAGAATGCCGATACGAACTGTGTTCCTCTGTCAGAGATAATGCTTCCAGGAAGTCCGTGAAAGCGCCAAATGTCTTTGACAAAGGCGTTAGCGGTCTGTTCCGCGTTGATTCCCGTCATTGGAATGAAGTGAGCCATTTTCGTAAAACGGTCCACGACTACCAATACGTTACGGAATCCTGATTTCTCCTTTGGCATTTCTACTACGAAATCCATTGAGATATCAGTCCAAGGTGTGGTGGCTAACTCTAGGGGTTGAGGGAGTGACAAGTGTCTCCGACGTTGCTTGGCTCTCTGGCACACGTCGCAAGTCTTGACGAAGTTGGCTACATCCGTGGACATTCCTGGCCACCAGTAGTTCCTATCGATCAACTCAAGGGTTTTATCCCTTCCTAGATGCCCCGCTACGGGTCTGTCATGATGATCCTCAATGACTTGTCTGACCGCGTATCCTGGGACTACCCAACGACCATCGTGGGTGGCCTCATTCGATCCCGGGGTCCATTCAGTGGCAAGCTCCGTTATTACGGCATCAGCTTCCTCTGTCCCGAAGACTTCAAGGTTTGCGTCAGGGAGAGGTTCATCCCGGAACGCTCTCCGAACCCATTGTCTGTCCTGTTCATACCAGTCTTGTAGTGGCTGAGGCAGCTCAGTACCTGGTATGTCGTACCACTGATCCAACGGAGTCCATCCTTCTTCGGGGTTGCCAATGATTTCAGGGCCAGTTTCTACACTGGTCCGTGATTTTCTGACAAATTGTTCTACGCTGAGCAACTGTTTTACGGGTTGTTCACGCATTACTCCCCCTTCCATAGCGAACTCTGGGCGCCTTGTGAGTGCATCTGGCTTGCCATTCTTTTCGCCTGGTCGGTAATGAATCCTGAAGCGAAAAGGTGCTATCTTTTCGGCCCATCTGGCTTGTCTTCTCGACAACTTCTTGGTCGTTGTGAAGTACTGTAGGTTCTGATGATCCGAATGTATCTGGATAGGAATATCCATTCCTTCCAGCGAATGTCTCCAAGTCAGGAGAGCAGAAACTATAGCGAGCATCTCCTTGTCATAGATCTCGTAGTTTACCTCTGCCTCGTTGAACTTGCGAGAGTGGTAAGCTACCGGGTGTAGAATACCGTCCTCGAACACCTGAGAGAGTACTGCGGCCTCAGCCCAGTCGCTCGCGTCAGTTTCTATGATCGCTTCACGGTGTTCGTCATAGTGTCGTAGTATTGGAGCAGACGTAAATCTCTCCTTGAGTTCATCGAAAGCGCTTTGCTGTTCACTGCTCCATCGCCATACGGAACCTTTCTTTAAGAGATCGGTCATTGGTCGGCAAACTTCAGAGTACCTGTGGATGAACCGCCGTAGGAAGTTGGCGAATCCGAGGAAACATTGAAGTTCCTTGACCTTGGTGGGTGGTAACCATTCCGTAATTGCCTTCACCTTCTTAGGCGAGACCTGGTTCCCTTTCCCTGATAGTACAAATCCCAGGAATTCTACCTCCTGTTTGTACCATTCCGTTTTCTCGAGGTTCCCGTATAGATGGTTTTGTTGCAGTCGCTCCAATATCTTCCTCACAAGAGCCGTATGCTCTTCCTTAGTCTTTGAATATATTAGAATATCATCCAAGTAGACTACTACGCCTTGATCTAGAAGATCCTTAAATATGGTATTGACCATGACCTGGAACGACGCCGGTGCATTGGTTAAGCCAAAAGGCATTACCCTATATTCGAAGTGGCCGTACTTCGTTCTGAAAGCTGTTTTCCATTCCTCGCCAGCGGCAATCCTAATCAAGTTATAGCCATTTTTCAGGTCTATCTTGGTAAAGAACTCTGCTCCTTTCGTCGAATCGGCCAGCTCTGTCATGAGTGGAAGGGGGTAGCGATTCTTGACCGTGATAGCATTTAAGCCACGAAAGTCTACGCATAGCCTCAGTTTTCCATTGGCTTTCTTCACGAACAGGATCGGTGCTGCTGCCGGGCTGGTGGAGGGGACTATTTTGCCCGAGGCTAGCATTTCGTCCAAGTATTCCCGGAGTGCCTTTTGTTCCACTGGGGAGAGCGCATAGATCGGACCCCATGGAGGCTGCTTTCCTTCCATAAGGGGAATGGTGTGATCCCAT